AATAAATTAGCATAGGCTTAACTCAAAATCTGTTGAAGTTTCACTGGGTTTCACTGGGTTTACTGTATACTATATTGATAATTATAGCTACTCATTCAGTGTTATAAAAATGATTGAAGACCATTATAATATTGAAGCATATATGTGAACAGTATTTAGATAAAGGTAGGGAAGTTTTTATTGCATTTATGGATTTAGAAAAGGCATATGATAGAGTGGATAGAGGAGCAATGTGGCAGATGTTGCAAGTTTATGGAATAGGTGGTAAGTTACTAAATGCTGTAAAGAGCTTTTATGAGGATAGTGAGGCTCAGGTTAGGGTGTGTAGAAGAGAGGGAGAATACTTCCCGGTAAAAGTAGGTCTTAGACAGGGATGTGTAATGTCACCATGGTTGTTTAATATATTTATAGATGGGGTTGTAAAAGAAGTAAATGCTAGGGTGTTCGGGAGAGGGGTGGGATTAAATTATGGGGAATCAAATTCAAAATGGGAATTGACAGTTACTTTTTGCTGATGATACTGTGCTTATGGGAGATTCTAAAGAAAAATTGCAAAGGTTAGTGGATGAGTTTGAGAATGTGTGTAAAGGTAGAAAGTTGAAAGTGAACATAGAAAAGAGTAAGGTGATGAGGGTATCAAATGATTTAGATAAAGAAAAATTGGATATCAAATTGGGGAGGAGGAGTATGGAAGAAGTGAATGTTTTCAGATACTTGGGAGTTGACGTGCCGGTGGATGGATTTATGAAGGATGAGGTTAATCATAGAATTGATGAGGGAAAAAAGGTGAGTGGTGCATTGAGGTATATGTGGAGTCAAAAAACTTTATCTATGGAGGCAAAGAAGGGAATGTATGAAAGTATAGTAGTACCAATACTTATATGGATGTGAAGCTTGGGTGGTAAATGCAGCAGCGAGGAGATGGTTGGAGGCAGTGGAGATGTCCTGTCTAAGGGCAATGTGTGGTGTAAATATTATGCAGAAAATTCGGAGTGTGGAAATTAGGAGAAGGTGTGGAGTTAATAAAAGCATTAGTCAGAGGGCAGAAGAGGGGTTGTTGAGGTGGTTTGGTCATTTAGAGAGAATGGATCAAAGTAGAATGACATGGAAAGCATATAAATCTTTTAGGGGAAGGAAAGAGGGGTAGGGGTCGTCCTCGAAACGGTTGGAAAGGGGGGGGTAAAGGAGGTTTTGTGGGCGAGGGGCTTGGACTTCCAGCAAGCGTGCATGAGCGTGTTAGATAGGAGTGAATGGAGACGAATGATACTTGGGACCTGACGATCTGTTGGAGTGTGAGCAGGGTAATATTTAGTGAAGGGATTCAGGGAAACCGGTTATTTTCATATAGTCGGACTTGAGTCCTGGAAATGGGAAGTACAATGCCTGCACTTTAAAGGAGGGGTTTGGGATATTGGCAGTTTGGAGGGGTATGTTGTGTATCTTTATACGTATATGCTTCTAAACTGTTGTATTCTGAGCACCTCTGCAAAAGCAGTGATAATGTGTGAGTGTGGTGAAAGTGTTGAATGATGATGAAAGTATTTTCTTTTTGGGGATTTTCTTTCTTTTTTGGGTCACCCTGCCTCGGTGGGAGACGGCCGACTTGTTGAAAAAAAAAAAAAAAATGTACATACAGTATACAGAATATTTTCTGTAGTTAGAGTATAGTGGATTTTGTATAATCTCGTAAAGAATATAATTATAGAAAATTATGTATAATATAGTACGTGTCCTACATTTTTATTGCCACATCAGTGGTTCCCTGCCAAGGTAGGGTGATCCAGTGAAGGAAACATTGATGTTTGCTCATAAATAAGCTGTCTTGCAAAAAGTGCCCTGATATCATGATTCAAATCACCATCCAAGCTGCAATAGCCCCACCCATCCTCCAGAGTGCAGGCTCAGTACATCCCACCTTCGGAACTCAGATCTGGCTAATTAGTTTCTCAAATCCCTTTGTGTCGTACCTCACCACTCCTTCCCTCCACCCAAAATTTATACGCTCTCTTGATCAAGCTATTCTGCTTCATCTTTTCTAAATGACCAAACAACCTCAAAAATTTCTTGACTGATTTCTATTTCTCATATCATTCTCTGCATTAGCCACACTACACAAACATGACCTCTAATACACAACCCGCAGATAGGAGAATGAAACAAATGACAATGTTTTGGTCCGACTTCATTTACACCCTTATGCAGTGTTTTACCATTATACTATTGGTGCCTTTGCCATTTTGCTTTCATTGATGAACTGTCACACACCTCAACAGACTCTTTAAATATAGCTATAAAGATAATGATACAGTACTGTAGTTAAGTGACTTAGGTGACTTATTATAATGTCTAGCTGACCAGACTTCCCTGGTTTTCTTAATAGATGGGATCTTGTTCAAACTTTCAACAGCATGTCAAATTGCACTCACTGTGATCTAACATGCTTTATATATGCTTGCCAGATGCTCAAGCCTCTTCCTCATAGCCTCTTTCAAACTTGGGAATGTCCTACACACATTCCATTTACTGCAGATTTATATACCCTCTTGGTCAACCTATATTGCTTCATCTTTTTTTTAACACAATTGAACCCTCTTAACAAGCACTTAATGTTTCCTGGAAAAAATTCTACGACATAACTGTAACATAAATGGGTAATCACACTCTCACTATATAGTGTACATTTTATGTATATATACATATGTAAGTATGCACACAAGCGCGCGTGCGTGCGCACACACACACACACACACACACACACACACACACACACACACACACACACACACACACACACACACACACACACACAACACACACACACACACACACACACACACATATGTATACATATACATATTGTATATATAAAATAATACTGTGATTAGGAAATATTCCAAGGTGCTGATCTATGGCCACTGACAAAAGTAGTGAGGTAAAGAATTTGTCCCATAATAACCACAACTGTAGTTGATGTGCCTATTAGTTACTAATCATTGGAAACTACAGTAGATTCATTAGTAAAAGGCAAAATGGAGAATAGATTCACTTTGTGCAAACACATTTTAATTTTAAATGTTATTTATTTGCTCATTGATTTGAATTTCAAAATTAATCAATACAGTTTTATTATTGATGATTTGCATTTTGTTTTTTGTATGCTGTAGAATGGAGACTGATGTATTGTAATTATGCAGATAATTGTATTTTTTTGTTTTCTGATTATTTTTGAGATCTGCAAATTATATATATATTTTTTTTTTCAAAAACTTTTAATTTGTCTTTTTTTATTTGTAATTTAAACACACTTATTTAATATAACATTCATCCTTTTGCTTTTTTCTTCTTCCTGTCTGCCAGTCAAGTTTGCTTCTGGTATCCTTGGATAAACATATATGTAACACAACTCAAGTAGTTCTTGGTTTTTAAACTGATGCAATTACTACGAACTTTCATGGAAAATATGGAGGAAGAAATTAATGTGAAAGATAATTGCAGTTGAGCATGAATTATTTAAAAGTTAGCTGTGGTTTTAACATTATCAAACCTGTAACATTAATATTCTAGTTGTTGTATTAATTAAGAGAACCACTTGTGTTGTAATACTTGTGTATAGTAATTTACTGTATAGTGCTGTAGTTATGTAAGCATTTATGAAAAATAATAATGCTGAATACAAGTAATTTGATTTTGGTTATGTTTAATGTGTGAGTATTTCCTAGTTTTTAGCTTCAGTATCTAGAATTAATTTTTCTTGAGTTTTAGAATAAAATTTTCTTGAGTTTTGTGTGAAAGTTTTGGCTCAGATATTACTTGGTATTATTTCAAAATAATTGTTATTGTGAAATTATTGCATTTGAAGTAATTTGTCTCCTGTCTGTTCAAAGTAAAGTATTAAAAATAATTTGTTTTCAAAGAATTCTAAATGAAGAGCCTATTTTCAAGATCCTGTATAGGCAAAATAAATCTGGGAGCTGCTAATAACTCGTGAAAATTTCATCTAGTAGTATATAGTTACGTAACATAATTAAAGCACTATTGTTTAATGGGAATTAATGAGTAATGTGAACTGCCAAATATTATTTAACAGTGTTATTTTGTATATAATGTGCACATAATATAGGATGTAGGATGACATGGGGGAGGGAACTGTAGAGAAAAAGTGAGCCAGTGAGATAACTTTAAGTATAGGAGTGTGTATATACACCTAGGAGTGTATGTGTATATACACTTGGGAGTGTGTGTGTGTGTGTGTGTACTCACCTAACTCACCTAATTGTGGTTGCAGGGGTCGAGACTCAGCTCCTGGCTGTGTGTGTGTGTGTGTGTGTGTGTGTGTACACCTGGGAGTGTGTGTATATACACCTAGGAATGTGTATATGTATTACTGTTTCTATTAATAAGGTTTGCATTAGTTTCACTTTGATCAGGTAATGGATTTGTGAGTTTGATAGAGTGGGAGCGGCTTACAGTGTTGAGCCTGGATAGACACACTGGGCTGCAGTTTAGAGGACTGAACCTTCGCTCTTTGTGCTAAATAACCCATACAGGTTTAACACTTCATGAAATAGTGTATAGTGGAGACTTTAGGTACAGTGACAGTTTTGATAGTGGGAAAGACTAGTGTTTATATAGTACATGAGGTTTAATATTAATGATTTTTCAATAATATAAATACATACAGAAAATTTTTTTTTGGTATAGAATATATGCTGTACAGGTATAGTATACACAGTACTGTACTTCATAAATGTGTACATTATTTACCAAAAAACACAGTAGTGTATATTTTTCAATGTTTGGGTAGACAGGAGATAAAGCATAATTCAACTTTCAGTTGACTATTAATTGGATTATAATGTTACAATTAGTGTACTATACTGTATTTTATATAAGTGTTCAACACCTTTTAAAGTATATTTTTTAGCAATTTATTCATAAATAGTACAAATTTGCATAAAAAATTTCATTTGATAGCAAAATTTGTTATATTCCCATAACAGATGAATCTGATATGGAGCGTTCATTTAAGCTGCCCATGTCGACTTTTGTTGGCTTGAACGAGAAGACCCTTCCATTGAAGGAGATTATCAAAAGACTAGAGGATGCATATTGTCGCTCTATAGGTAAGTAAGAAATGAAGTTAATTATTACTGCTTAGTTTTATCACAAGCTTGCTGTCTGCCTTACAGGATAATAGTCTGGTAGTCAGAATTATACCGTCTTAACATCAGGCTGGTTTTCTGGTTCAATTAACAAATTGAAATTTTCTGAAATCTGGGTACCATGCTGTATAACATATTCACAGTTAATATTTTTAGGGGCATTCTTTTTATTTTTTAAAACTGAATTACAACACTTAAATCCTCTACATTCACTGAGGATTATTACCCAGTCAGATTTAAGACCGGGAAATATGATGTCTTTCATCTTGTACTTCTAAAGAAGTCTTGCAAGCACCTGTACCCATATTTTTTTATTTTCTATTTTTCTCTTGCTTTTTCCATCATTACCTAGTCTGGTGTTTGGTAGGTTGATGGGTATCATATTGGCATCTGATTATTTTGGAGAAATGGGTATTTGCACTTGCTATAATTAAGGTAATTAGTACAGTACCTAATATATTTGCGTATACTGTATGTTCTTTCGTCTCTTTTCTCTCGTCACTTTTTTCATCTTTTCTCTCGTCTCTCCTCTCTCATCTCTCCTCTCTCATCTCTTTCATTTCACGCCTCTCCCTTGTCTCTCCCCTCTCCCTAGTTTCTCCCCCATCTCTCCTCCTCTCTCTCATCTCTTCCCCATCTCTCCTTCTCTCTCTATCTCTCCCCCCCCTCTCTCTCTCTCTCTCTCGTCTCTCCCCTCACTCTCGTCTCTTCCCCCTCTGACACTTTCACTCAACCTGAATCAGCAACTGGCTTTTTCCAGGTCATATAAATACCTAAACAGAGACTTTCATAGATGAGCTGCCTTTTTTAAAACTACTATGCTTTCAGGTATGTACTAACTTTCCCCACAAAACCTGATCTTGGAAGCAAGCTTTTCAGTTGTGATTTATTGATAATGCAAATTGTGGTAGAACAATATGTGGAAATCTACTATATTACATTATATTTATCTTCTCTCTACACATGCATATTTAGATCTCTCCTTCAACTGTAGTTAATATATTAATAGCTGTGACTGTATCAGGTGCAGAAGAGTGGAATGAGTTAGGTATTGACAGAGTGGAAGAGAAATTTATTCGGTTTCCAAAAATAGATGCAACAAAGGAGTTACAGGTCCGTGTCACTGTCAAGTATTATTAACTTGATGAATAAACTGCATTTCTGGAACTGAATTTTTTCCCTTTTACCACAGAAATATCGTTTATGCCATGACCATGTAGCTTGTATTATCTTTTTTTTTTTTACTGACATGAAATAACAGCTACCATCAAAAGATATACAGCTGAATTAATGATGCTGTAGGCATGTATTTTTTTTTTATCTCCGTACGTTGGATGGTGGTCAGTGAGGTAAAAAAAAATCTTCATTCGTAGGTCTTTTATGTGAAGAGACATTTGAAAAAAAAATTCTTCAGTAGCTGCTTTCTTATAATTTTCTTTTACTCTTTTTTTGTAACAGGTGTTGAATTCATGTTCATCAACTCATTAGAACAGTGCAACTGGATTCGTCAGAAGTTTGAAACGCCAGGAATCATGGCCATGAATCAACAAGATAAGAGACTTTTGCTAGCAAGATTAACCAGATCTCATGGGTGAGACTTAATTACAAATCAGTTAGTAAAGAGATTTTAAATATTTTGTGAATGTCAGTTCTTCACAATTTTTGCAACCTTTGTGACTGCATAAGACCTCAATTGTTTTAAAGATTATAATAGGTTCTTTTACTGTGGATAATAATATATTGTAAGTCTGTATTGTTCCAATCATGGTATTGTGCAGGACTGTTAACCCTTTGACTGTTGCAACCCCAAATCCTGAAGTGTCTCCTGGTGTCGAAAAATTTTTGGAAAAAAAAAAAAAAAAAAAAAATTTCTTATGAAATGATAGAGAATCTTTCCCGATGGTAATGACACCAAAAATACAAAATTTGATTGAAAACTTGCGGAATCACGAAGTTAGCGATCTCGGCGATGTAGATGTATACGCATCGGCAATTTTTGCCGACTTTGAGCCCTGTATTTCTGTTTTCCATTCTATCAAATGAGACCAAGAAAACGAGAATACAACCATAAATACTATAGGAAAATACACTTCAAAGTCGGCGTTTTAATCCAAAAACAGTTTTTTTTTCTCTCATTGTCCACTGCGTGCTGCAGGATTTTTTTATACAGTGCACACTGACCACACAGAACCATTCCTCACATGGGGGGCCCACCAGCTTTCTCCTGCTTGTTTGAAGCCGTAGAATTAGGGTTAATCGTCCGAAACCTGGCTCATAAGACGTATAATCAGCCAACATCAAAGGGTTTACTATATGAAGGGTATTTTATGATTTTTTGCTTGCAATAGTGGATGAACTTGCAGAATTTATAAGGTACAAAATGATGGAAAGGGTGCGATTTTGGTGTGAAAAGGGAGAAGGGGTTGTGAAGAATGGGGAAGGTTTCGGTGTATCCCTATCTCAGAGCCAGCCTAGGCCATGCGATGTATTTGAAATTCATTCCCGGGGTTTAAACCGGGCCACAGTGCATTGCCCCTGAAACCCTCTCCAAGTATACCCGGTATATTATGAATGTTTCTGATCAGCATAGGATTGAACAAGAATTTTGGATAAACTAAAATTACCACACATTGGAGAGAGAATTTTAAAAAAAAGTCACCCATTCTGACCAAATATGAAGTCTGAATGGGAGGGAATAGGGAAAACCCATCAACGATTGGGTTATTACAAAAATAACCCACACTAAGAAACTGAAATTATGACAACGTTTTGGTCTGACAGGGCCATTACCTGTGACTATTTAAGGGTCTAAGTTTTACTGAAATGTCATTGAAGTTTGTCCCTTGTGGGGTTTTTGTGTTTTATTCCAGTCACGTTTTTTTTATTTTTTCGATTGTTGTCGCTTTTTTTTCCCCGTTTTTTTTTTTCCCCAAAAAGTCGGCCCTCTCCCACCAGGCAGGGGTGCCCAAAAAAAAAAAGAAAAATTTCCCAAAGGAAAAAACTTTCATCACATTCAACACTTTTTACCCCTCACACAAAACACTGTTTTTGCGGGGCCCCCAAAACACGCTTAGAACATTACTAAAGAAACACAACATATCCCCCAAACTGCCCAAAATCCCAAACCCCCTTTAGGTGCAGACATTGTACTTCCAATTTCAGGACTCAAGGGCTATATTAAAAAAAAACCGGTTTCCCCGAAACCCTTTACTAAATTTACCCTCTTACTCCACAGTCATCAGGTCCCAAAAACCACGTCTCCCTTCATCCTATAAAAAAACCCCCACGCACGCTTTTGGAAAATCCCAAACCCCCCCGCCACAAAACTCCTATACCCCTTCCCTTTCCCAACCTTTTTGAGGCAACCCCCACCCCGCCTTCCCTTCCCCCCAGATTTTCGCTCTCCATTCATTCTACTTTACCCCCTCTAAAAGCCAAAAACCCCCTCAAAACCCCCCTTCACCCCCCCACTTACTTTTAAACTCCACACTTCCCGAAATTTTTTGCATAATATTTACACCCACATTTGCCCCCTTTGACAGGGCATCTTTTCTCTCCAACTTCCTCCTCATACAGCATTCAAAATAATAGTTCAAATGGGTGAACTCCATTTATTTATAAGTTCCTTCTCCAAGTGGGGATTATAGGGAATGGTTTCCGCCATGGGATTGTAAAATTTTTTTCAAAAAATATTTGGGTAATTTTAAAAAAGAGACAGATGAAATGTGAAGTACAAAAAGAGGCAGGGAAAGGGTGAGATGAGTTACAAGTGTTAAAATTTAAAGATAATGCAAATTGGTTTTTTTCCTTTGGGAAAAGAAGTGCATAACGAAATAAGAAGAACATATTTTTAGTGAAAGTTATCAACGTACACAGGTATTAGCATAGAAAAACCTATAATGGGAAAATTCCAAAAAAGGAAAGATTTATAAAAGAGACACGTACACCCCCCATTTTTAAATTTGGGGGAAATTTTTTTCCCTTCTCTTTTTCATAAACCCCTTCAAGGGGGGCTTCTTTGGGGTGGGGAAGGGCTTTTGGCTGAGGAATTACCCTTCGGTCTTCTTCCTCAGCCGAACCTAATTACCCCCCCTTCTCCCCCCCCCCTTTCCCTCTCCCCACCCCCCTTTTTTTCCATTCCCCTCCCCACCCTCCCTTTTGCCCTTCCTCTTTTTGGCCTTTGGGTTTCTCCCACCGGGGTCGCTAGTTCCTAGGTAGGGGGAAAGGACAGGGGTCCATCCCCTTCCCTTTAGGTTTTTTGGCGGTGGGGTAGTTTTCCGTGGAAATTTGGGTTGCCTGGGGTGTCCCGATCCCCCCTCCGGTATCCCGAGTAGCTTTGGTATCTTTGGGGGGGGTGTATCTCTGGAACCCCCCTTTCGGGTTCCGGGGGCGGGGGCCGAAGGGGGTTTGCTTTGTAGCGGATATCGGCCCGCCTCTCTTTTGTCCACCGAGGTAGCTCGGCAGATGTGAGGTTGCTATCCCGGATTGCTGGTTTACTGACATGAAGGGTAGGTATGGCACGGGTTCCATGCTGCATCTGCGCTACTAGCGGTGTTGAGGTCCTCTTGGGCGCGGAGGGAGATTTCCGGCCCTTTCATTCCTCCTGGGAACTATTCCTCCCGCTCCCCCCTTTTTTTTATTCTTTTTTTTTATTTTTATTTATTTTCTTCTTTCTTTTTTTTTTTTCTTAAAAACAAAAAGCAAAGGAGTAACCTAACCATGGCAGCCCTAGTCCATGAACCCACTACCCCCGGGCCCCTTCTTGATACCGCACCCCATTCTGACCCTGCCTTGTGTTTAGACCACTCTTCGGACACTCCTGATGCCCCTGTACCTCTTGCTGGTGCTGTTTCCTCACCCGCTTCAGGTACCGGGGCTTCGACTGACTCCTTCGATTTGTCTGAACTCCGCTCTCCTTTGACTATGCTTCCGGCTTCTCCCTCTACGGTACGGCAATTTTCGAATCGCCCGCCCATTTCATGCCGGACCAACTCCGGTCCTACTCCTAAATGCCAACGTCAATCTCCTGATGATGCTCCTTCGTTACCTTCCCATTCTACTCGGAAAAGACCGACACGTCAAGCACTCCCTCTCCACGCTCAGTTTCGGACCACACAATGGACTAAATTCTTTACTTTAAGACCGACTTCTTCTTCTGCCTACCTTTCTGACCATAGTATTGGCAAAGCGCTCCTGCGTCATGTTGGCAGAGATATTTCATTTCATGCTCTCAAGAGTGGTACGCGCATCGTCACTGTCCAGAATGCTACCCAAGCTCATGATCTTTCTCTCCTTTCGAATATCGATACTACTCCTATCACTATTGAAAAACATCTTTCTCTCAATTCTTGTAGTGGTACTGTCATTCTGCCCATACCATAGTCCAACAGAATTTCCAGTCATGTGGCAATGACATTTTTGAACAGCTGGAACTCCAGGATCTCCCAATCCTCAAAGTAGACACTTATGTCCTTCCTGCCTGGGGGCGGAGATGTTACCCTTGCAATGTGGCTCGTTTAACTTTTGACAGCCGAGAACTCCCGTCCTCTGTATATGTCGCGGGACATCGGTTACAAGTTCGAAAGGTGATACCTACACCGCAACAATGTAGAAATTGCTGGTGTTTTGGTCACCCAGCGAATATTGCAGATCTATGGCCGAATGCCCAGTCTGTGGTGCCGACGACCATTCTAATACATCTTGCAGTCAACCTCCATCTTGCCTTAATTGTAATGAAGCTCACCCTTCGTACTCCCGCCGTTGCCAGGTCTACTTAAATGAACGTGAAATCCGTTGCCTCAAAGAGGCAGAAGGTCTCCCTTATGCTATGGCAGTTACTCATCTCCGCCTCCAAGGGAGACTACCCCGTGTTTCTTATTCTTGTGTTTCCAAACATCCCCCCACTTCTGGGGTCCCATCTTCTGCAGCCTCCTCTGTTGTTACCCCTCCCATAGCCACTACGGCATCTAATCCTTTTGCTGTCCTTGGCTCTGACGTCCCGACTACAACTCAGTCTGTTCTCACATCTCCGCGTCCTTCCTCACAAGCTCCAGTATCGACAAGACCTCGTACAACACCTAATACCAATCGCCCCTCTACTCAGAAGTCCAAAAAATCCACATTGCTCAAATCTTCTTTGCCCCTTCCTTCCCTTCTTCCACCTCCACACTTTACCTTTCCAGTCTCTGTACCTAGTTCTTCCCCTCTCTCTGGCTCTATTACAAGTGTGGAGATTCACCCTCCTCCTCGTACTATGCCTTCCACCCTCCCGTCCCCTCCCAAGTTTCTCCCTCTTCTGCCACCTCCCAGGTTTCTGCCTCTTCTGTCCCCCCTACACTTCATCTCCAGTCCCTTACACTCTTCCCTCCCCTCTACTTTGGTACAGTCCATTACTGTCCCAATCTTTACTCACCCTCTCCTTGTATCTCAATATGGTCTCCCATACATCTTTGAATTCAGAAACACTTGAAGCCATTTCAGAATATATTGCAGAGACTAAACCTTCAATGGACACTGATTCACTTCCTGTTCCTTCTCTCCCTCTCCTCCATCTTCACAACCCATTCTTCGCAACGCTCCGTTCCTTCGCTACTTGAACGTCTTCCAATGCCACCACACGTTGACTTTTCTAACCCCTCTAGTCCGTAGGTGCCTTTACCTACAGATTCCTGATATTTTCTTCATCGCCAATCATGGCCTATTTACGGTGGAATATCCGCGGCCTCAGGGGTAATCGGGGTGAGCTTCAGATGTTGCTTTCCAGGTTTTCCCCTGTTGGTGCTTGCTTACAAGAACCAAAATTACACTCGGCTGTTTTCCAACCTATCTCAGGCTATAATTTCTTGTATTCTTCGGATCCTTTCTCAGATGGGACCTTTAAAAGTGCCCTTCTTCTACACAATGATATTCCGTACTGTCAACTATTTGTCCATACCTCGCTACATTACACTGCAGCCCGTATCCACTTGAATAAGTGGTTTACATATGTTCTTTATATCTCTCTCCTTCTCGAGCATTTTCTATCCCAGACTTTGCCTTTCTTGTTTCATCCTTACCACCACCACTTCTGTTACTTGGTGATTTTAATGCCCACCATTTCCTCTGGGGGGGGTCTCATTGTGACTCACGTGGCATTCAGTTGGAGGCTTTTCTCGCCTCTCACCCCCTCCATGTTTTAAATACGGGTATCCCACTCATTTGATCCTCGTACTCATACTCTCTCTTGCATCGATCTATCAGTCTGCTCTTCCTCCACTGCACTAGACTTCACCTGGTCTGTTCTACCAGACTTACATGACAGCGATCATTTTCCGATCATTCTTACTTCTCCTTCCTATTCACCACCTTTCCGTAGCCCTCGCTGGCAATTTGATCGGGCAAATTGGGATCTTTACTCACACCTCACTGCTTTTAGTGAGGTTCCTTCTTCATCCTCCATTGATGAGCTCCTACACATCTTCTCGACGTCAGTTTATACCGCAGCTTCTCATTCTATACCCCAAACCTCAGGCAGGCATTCTCAGAAGTGCGTGCCTTGGTGGTCTCCTGCTTGTGCTCGTGCAGTACGTTTGAAACGTGCTGCATGGGGCAGGTACCGGTACAATAGAACCGCTGAGAGACTTCTTGATTTTAAGCAGAAGCGTGCGATCGCTCGCCGTGTCATCGTGAAGCTAAACGCACTTGTTGGCGAGACTATGTTTCCACCATCACCTCTGCTTCTTCTATGAGTGCAGTCTGGAAAAAAAGTGAGGAAATTGAGTGGTAAATACTCTCCTGACCCGACTCCTGTTCTACGGGTCGCTGGTGTTGATGTAGCAAACCCTCTCGACGTTGCCATTGAACTTGGCACACATCTGGTCCGTATTTCCCGAGGGCTCCATCTATGCCCCTCGTTTCTTTCCTCAAAGTCTGCCAGAGAGTTAGTACCCTTGGACTTTTCTTCTCTCGGAGAAGAACAGTATAATGTGCCTTTTACACTTCAAGAACTGGAGGCAAAGCTCTCAGCTTGCCGATCATCGGCAGCTGGGCCTGACGACATTCATATTCGTATGTTACAACATTTACATCAGTCAGCCCTTGTAGTCCTCTTACACCTCTTCAATCTTATTTGGGCACAAGGAGTTCTTCCCCAGCTGTGGAAATCTGCCATTGTTCTCCCTTTCCGCAAACTGGGTACTACAGGACATGATGCCTCCCACTATCGCCCCATCGCTCTTACTAGTGCAGTTTGCAAAGTGATGGAACGCCTTGTAAATCGACGTTTAATGTGGTATTTAGAGACTCTCAACAGTCTCTCCGCTAGTCAATATGGCTTTCGTAAGGGTCGTTCTACCATAGACCCCTTACTACGCTTGGATACGTATGTTCGTAATGCCTTTGCGAATAATCACTCAGTTATTGCCATATTTTTTGACGTTGAGAAGGCATATGACACAACTTGGAGGTATAATATTTTGGCCCAAGCCCACTCCTTAGGCCTCCGAGGCAGTCTACCATCCTTCCTCAAGAACTTTTTAACTGACAGACATTTCCGTGTTCGAGTCAATAATGTTCTTTCCCTGGACTTCGTCCAAGCTGAAGGTGTCCCTCAGGGATGTGTTCTAAGCACAACACTTTTTCTCCTTGCTATAAATGATTTGGGCTCTGTTCTTCCACCCAATATTTGGTCATCACTCTATGTTGATGACTTCGCTATTGCTTGTGCAGGCGCTGACTGTCACCTTATTGCAGTTTCTCTCCAGCATGCGGTCGACCGTGTTTCCACTTGGGCCACCACGCATGGGTTTAAATTTTCAAGTACCAAAACTCACCAAATTACTTTCACTAGACGCTCTGTTATCTCCGATCATCTTTTGTATCTCTATGGCTCCCGTATCCCGACGTGATACAGTCAGGTTTCTAGGCCTTCTCTTTGACGTCGGTTATCCTGGAAACCTCACATTACCTCTCTGAAGGCAACTTGTCACAGCCGGCTAAACCTTCTTAAAACCCTTGCTCATCTTTCCTGGGGAGCTGATCGTCGAACTCTGCTTCGCCTACATTCAGCCCTCGTTTTATCGAAACTCGATTATGGTGACCAGATTTATTCCGCGGCCTCTCCTGCTACTCTCTCTAGCCTTAACTCTATCCATCACCAAGGCTTACGTTTGTGCCTTGGTGCTTTTCGCTCTTCCCCTGTTGAGAGCCTCTATACAGAAGCAAACGTTCCATCCTTGTCTGATCGCCGTGATGCCCATTGCCTTCGCTACTATGTACGCTCTCACGATCTACACAATCCTTCCATTTATAGAATATTCACCGATATTAGTAGACATTCTTTATTCGTTCGCCGCCCCTGTTTGCTCCGTCCCTTTTCTCTTCGCCTACATTCACTCTTGTCTTCCCTTCAGTTACCACCTTTATATGTTCATGTAGCATCTCACTTTTCCTACCCCCCTGGGAAGTTCCAGCTGTTCGGGTCTGTTCTTTCTCATTCCCTTGCTCGAAAGCTCAACTGCCTACGGTGGCTTCCCACTCTCTTTTTCTTGATCACTTCCACTCCCATTCTCATGCCACCGCTGTGTACACAGATGGCTCTAAGTCTTCAGACGGCATCGGATTCGCAGCAGTGTTTCCAGACAGGTCGTGCGGGGGCATTTACTATCTTCAGCTAGCATTTTTACTGCTGAACTGTATGCCATTCTTGCAGCACTTATTCGTATCGCATCTATGCCTGTGTCATCATTTGTAGTAGTCTCAGACTCCCTTAGTGCTCTACAGGCTATACGAAAATTGATACATCTCATCCCTAGTTCTCCGTATCCAACTTTGGCTACGCCGTATCTCTACCAAACATAAAAGATATGTTTTTTGTTGGGTCCCTGGTCATGTCGACGTAACAGGGCAATGAACAGGCAGACACTGCTGCGCGGTGAGCAGTGCATGACCTACCAATTTCCTATCGAGGTGTTCCATTTCTGGACTATTTTGCTGCAATAGCTACCCACCTTCGCACCCGTTGGCAACAACGTTGGTCAACTCTGCTCGGTAACAAACTTCATTCTATTAAACCGAGCATAGGTTACTGGCTGTCTTCTTGTCATCAGTGCCGAGGTTGGGAGACCACTCTCTCCCGCCTTCGCATTGGCCACACTCGTCTTACTCATGGGTATCTCATGGAGAGGCACCCTGTTCCTCTCTGTGAGCAGTGTCAAGTTCCAGTATCGATTAGCCACATTCTGTTAGACTGCCCTCTCTATCAACGAGCACGCAGAATTTACCTCCAACGTCGTCTTCGTTCTACTACTCTCTCTTTACCTTCCCTTCTTGCTGATGGACCCTCCTTTAATCCTGACTCTCTCATTGACTTCTTGACAACGACTGATTTACTCCACAAACTCTGATGATACTTTTCGCACTCCCCTCAGCCCTTTCTAGTTCAGTCTCTTGCTGCCCTTTACCCTTTCACCATCCACTACCCCGCTGTTATCCGTGACCTATTACTCATCCATTTCCCTTATGCCACCTGATGCCCTCGCTTCCTTCCTGCCCTGCAGCGCTGTATAGCCCTTGTGGCTTAGCGCTTCTTTTTTATTATAATAATAATAATTATGATTATTCATGAATCAATCATCCCATTAATATAGTGTACGGTAATTATATTTATTCTACACTATCCACGTATGATCTTTCTTCTTTCAACAAACCAGCTGTATCCCACCGAGGCAGGGTGGCCCAAAAAGAAAAGCGAAAGTTTCTCTTTTTAAATTTTGTAATTTATACAGGAGAAGGGGTTACTAGCCCCTTGCTCCTGTATCCATGTATGATATTGGTGTTTTATTCTTCAGTATTTGGAAATGGTTTATGGCTAGTTTTGTGTTTATGCTTTCATATTTGATTGCCTTGACGTAAATGGCAAGATAAGTGCTGTTGAGTGAGTCTTAAGGTGATGTTTTTAATTGCTTTGAAAGTGTTTTATTTAAATTGTTAAAAATATGACTTGAGAAATTAGTTGCTTGGTCATCCTATCTGAAGCTGAAGTGTGGTAATTAACTTTCTGTTTAGTGCAGAGTGCTAAACCTATGTAGGTTACATAGCACAAGGAATGGTAGGAGCTCAGTCCTTTATCCCTAAGTTCGAGACCAGCATTCTTCCATTTGGCATACATAACTGGTACTCTGTATATTATTATCCATGAAGTGAATGCATCTAAGATATAAAATATATTACTTTATATTAGCTATGAAGGACATACATCTGAATTTATATTATTTTTAATACATCTTTCTTACAGATTTGAAGGTTTTTTGGCTCGGAAGTTCTCTTCAGAAAAACGCTTTGGTCTCGAAGGCTGTGAAATTTTGATTCCTGCTATGAAACAGGTTAGTGTATACACTTAGTATACATTATTGTATTTTGTGTGCATTGTTTGCCTGAGGAATTTTTTTTGTAGTACTTTATGTGGGCAGCCCAGGTTGGGGCCTGAGGTCCTGACTTGGTTAATCTCCAAAAAACTGAAGTAGAGTAGGCTTTCAAAATAAAATAAAAATAAAATTTAGAGGTGCAATAAGTTTACTAGATGTAACTTAAGAATAACGGGTCCAAGGCTTTTCAACACAGTCTTGAAATGTAAGGAATTGTAGTTTACCTGGAGAGAGTTCCGGGGGTCAATGCCCCTGTGGTCCGGTCTGTGACCAGGCCTCATGGTGGATCAGAGCCTGATCAACCAGGCTGTTACTGCTGGCTGCACTCAATCCAACGTACGAGCCACAGCCCAGCTGGTCAGGTACCGACTTTAGGTGCTTGTCCAGTGCCTGCTTGAAGACTGCCAGAGGTCTATTAGTAATCCCCCTTATGTATGCTGTGAGGCAGTTGAACAGTCTCGGGCCCCTGACACTTATTGTATTGTCTCTTAACGTGCTAGTGACACCCCTGCTTTTCATTGGGGGGGGTGTTGCATCGTCTGCCGAGTCTTTTGCTTTCTTTGTGAGTGATTTTCGCGTGCAAGTTCGGTACTAGTCCCTCTAGGATTTTCCAGGTGTATATAATCATGTATCTCTCCCACCTGCGTTCCAGGGAGTACAGGTTCAGGAACTTCAAGTGCTCCCAGTAATTGAGGTGTTTTATCTCTGTTATGCGTGCCGTGAAAGTTCTCTGTACATTTTCTAGGTCAGCAATTTCACCTGCCTTGAAAGGTGCTGTTAGTGTGCAGCAACATTCCAGCCTAGATAGAACAAGCAACCTGAAGAGTGTCATCATGGGCTTGGCATCCCTAGTTTTGAAGGTTCTCATTATCCATCCTGTCATTTTTCTAGCAGATGCGGTTGATACAGTGTTATGGTCCTTGAAGGTGAGATCCTCCGACATGATCACTCCCAGGTCTTTGACGTTGGTTTTTCGCTCTATTTTGTTGCCGGAATTTATTTTGTACTCTGATGAAGTTTTAATTTCCTCATGTTTACCATATCGGAGTAATTGAAATTTCTCATCGTTGAACTTCATATTGTTTTCTGCAGCCCATTGAAAGATTTGGTTGATGTCCACCTGGAGCCTTGCAGTGTCTGCAATGGAAGACACTGTCATGCAGATTCGGGTGTCATCTGCAAAGGAAGACACGGTGCTGTGGCTGACATCCTTGTCTATGTCAGATATGAGGATGAGAAACAAGATGGGAGCGAGTACTGTGCCTTGTGGAACAGAGCTTTTCACCGTAGCCACCTCAGACTTTACTCTGTTGACTACTGCTATTTGTGTTCTGTTTGTGAGGAAATTATAGATCCATCTACCAACTTTTCCTGTTATTCCTTTAGCACGCATTTTGTGTGCTATTACGCCATGGTCACACTTGTCGAAGGCTTTTTTGCAAAATCTGTATATATTACATCTGCATTCTTTTTGTCTTCTAACGCATCTAGGACCTTGTCGTAGTGATCCAGTTGTTGGGACAGACAGGAGTGACCTGCTCTAAACCCATGTTGCCCTGGGTTGTGTAATTGATGGGTATCTAGATGGGTTGTGATCTTGCTTCTTAGGACCCTTTCAAAGATTTTTATGATATGGGATGTTAGTGCTATCGGTCTGTAGTTTTTTGTTATTGCTTTACTGCCCCCTTTGTGGAGTGGGGCTATGTCTGTTGTTTTTAGTAGTAATGATAATTTAGCCACAAAATTTATTGTTATTCCAATAAATAATTGAGGTTTTCATTGCAGGTCATTGATCGTTCAACTTCTCTGGGAGTTGAAAGTTTTGTGATGGGTATGCCACATAGAGGACGACTAAATGTGCTGTCGAATGTGTGCCGCAAACCACTTGAACATATCTTTACACAGTTTGCTGGCTTAGACACTGGTGATGAGGTATGACTTAGTTTAAAGACTATGAAACATTATTTGGGTAAAATATAATAAAGAAGTACATAGAGGACCCATAATATAGATCCTTGTATATTATAAAAATCATTGAGTTAAGGTATGCAAGTTCAAAATTAAGGTTGTAACTCGAAATGCTCTATATCCTCTACCATGGGTAAAGAATCCTAATGACCCTGATTGCTTGTACCTAGTGTATTGTTACTCTTACTTAATATATTGGGTTGATAAAATTTATATTTTAAAGTCCCCTCAAATCAAATGTTGCATATTTCCCTAGTGCATGTGTCCAGACCTATTCATTTCCTGTAGGTAGTAGGTTGGTAGACAGCAACCATCCAGGGAGGTACCATCGTCCTGCCAAGCGAGTGTGAGACGAAAGCCTGTAATTGTTTTACATGATGGTAGGATTGCTGGTGTCTTGTCTGTCTCATAAATATGCAAGATTACAGGTACGTCTTGCTACTTCTACTTACACTTAGGTCACACTACACATACATGTACATGTTTATTTATACACACTCATCTGAGTTTTCTTTGATTTTATCTTAATAGTTCTTGGTCTTATTACTTTTCCTTTTATATCCATGGGGAAGTGGAATAAGAATCTTTCCTCCATAAGCCATACGTGTTGTAAAAGTCAACTAAAATGCCGGGAACAATGGGCTAGTAACCCCTTTTCCTTTAATAATTACTAAAAAGAATAAGAAGAAAATTGTCAAAGTGGGAAGTCTGAATGTGCGTGGATGTTGTGCAAATGATAAGAAAGAGATGATTGTGGATGTTATGAATGAGAAGAAGCTGGATGTCCTGGCTTTAAGTGAAACAAAGCTGAAGGGGGTGGGAGAGTTTCAGTGGAGAGGAATTAATGGGATTAGGTCAGAGGTTTCAAATAGAGTTAGAGCTAAAGAAGGAGTAGCAATAATGTTGAAGGATAAGTTATGGCAGGAAAAGAGGGACTATAAATGTATTAATTCAAGGATTATGTGGAGTAAAATAAAGGTTGGATGTGAAAAGTGGGTTATAGTAAGCGTATATGCACCTGGAGAAGAGAGAAATGTAGAGGAGAGAGAGAGAAATTTTGGGAAATGTTGATTGAATGCGTGGGGAGTTTTGAACCAAGTGTAAGAGTACCTGTGGTTGGGAATTTCAATGCTAATTGGGTAAAAATGTTGTGGAGGGAGTAGTAGGTAAATTTAGGGTGTCAGGGGTAAGTGAAAATGGGGAGCCTTTAACCCGTAAACAGTCCAAGCAGATCTACGTTCACATGTGTAGTGCTACAAAAGTAGATCTACTTTTTTTTACATATTTTCAAATATAACAAAAAAAAAAAGTAGATCAAAGTTTTTTTACACATTTTCAAATGTAAAAAAAACAAAAAGATCATCTCCTTTTTTTACATACTTTCAAATGTTGAAAAGACGTATATATACGTTTGGACCGTTTACGGGTTAATTGAGCTATGTGTAGAAAGAGGTTTGGTAATAAGTAATACATATTTTATGAAGAGGATAAATAAATATACAAGGTATGATATAGCACGTAATGAAAGTAGTTTGTATTGGTGGATAAAAGGTTGATGGGTAGGCTCCAGGATGTACACGTTTATAGAGGGGCAACTGATATATCGGATCATTATTTAGTTGTAGCTACAGTTAGAGTTAGAGGTAGATGGGAAAAGAGGAAAATGGCAACAACAAGCAGGAGGGAGGTGAAAGTGTATAAACTAAGGGAGGAGGAAGTTCGAATGGTATTTGGGACCTGACAATCTGTTGGAGTGTGAGCAGGGTAATATTTAGTGAAGGGATTCAGGGAAACCAGTTATTTTTATATAGCCGGACTTGAGTCCTGGAAATGGGAAGTACAGTGCCTGCACTCTACAGGAGGGGTTCGGGATATTAGCAGTTTGGAGGGATATGTTGTGTATCTTTATACGTATATGCATCTAAACTGTTGTGTTCTGAGCACCTCTGCAAAAACAGTGATTATGTGTGAGTGAGGTGAAAGTGTTTAATGATGAAAGTATTTTCTTTTTGGGGATTTTCTTTCTTTTTGGGTCACCCTGCCTCGGTGGGAGACGGCCGACTTGTTAAAAAAAAAAAACATACAATAAAAATTTGCTAAATGGGAAATTCATTTGATATATTTCTACTGAAATATTCTTAATTGTGCAGCTTTTTTTATGTATTTGTTTCGATTGTGAATTTATTGTCTTTGCAGGGTTCTGGGGATGTTAAATATCACTTAGGCACATACCAAGAACGTTTGAACCGTGTTACAAATAAGAACATTCGTTTAGCAATTGTTGCTAACCCGTCCCACCTGGAAGCAGTTGATCCAGTTGTTCAGGGAAAGACTCGTGCTGAACAGTTCTATCATGGTGATTCTGAGGGAAACAAGGTAAATAACAGGAGGGCTTCAGATATCTGTTGACAATTTAAGAAAGTGTTGAACCTCTTCAGAAGGGACTGTCACTTGTTATATTAGAAGATTTCAGATTCATCTCAAACTGGTTTAGTAGGAATTTACTAATAAATAAGAGGCATTTTGTCTTTGTATAGTACATTTCAAGTAGCATACAATATATCTTTTTATGACAGTTTGCTTCAGTTACAATTTCTAACATCATTGAAACTTGTAAAAATGCTTTAGAAATACATACATTTTGGTAATAAAATTGTCTGGGTGAAATGCTTAAGAGTGGTTACAAGTGGAACTACTATATTATAAAGATAGGCTGAGGTCTGTGGACTTGGTCTACAGTGTAGAAGCAGCTCAGGCATGGGCGTCAATATATAAGACCAAAGTACCTGTGCCCAGAATCTCTAGTTAAGAAAGTTGAAATAATGAATATATTTTTTGGATTACATTACATTGCATAAATTGAAATAAGTTTTCTAACCTAGTTCATATGACTTAACAGGTGTTGTCAATATTGCTTCATGGAGATGCTGCATTTTCTGGCCAAGGTATTGTCTATGAAACTTTCCACTTATCCGAACTGCCAGAATATACAACCCATGGCACAATTCACATTGTTGTGAACAATCAAATTGGTTTTACTACTGACCCTCGAATGTCTCGATCATCTCCATATTGTACTGGTAAGTTTTTAGTGCCTGAATGAATTTGAAGATTTTGCATTTTAAATGTGAATATGCAATATTGCTGAAGCAGATGCTTTGGGTGTCTCATTGTTTTACAGGCAGCCTGCATACTGATTGATGATTTTAAATGTATTAATAGGGTATATTTTTATTTCTTACTACATGTCATTATTTGTCTGCTTTATAGTATTTTATAGCAGATGGCTCAGCTGCTTAGGGACTTTTGTCTTTGTAGAAGCATAGTAACAATTCTGTAGATTTGCTTGTTTATCACTTAATCCATCTTAGAGTGGTTGTGACTGTCACATCTCACTGAAAGGGCAACAACATTGTTAATGAGTCCTCATTTTACCATTTTGCATGTATCCTCAAAAGATCTGCTGTAGAAGGTTTGATTTGCATTTCTGGATGTTATTTCAAAAATTGTATCTCTCTCACTTTGTCTTTGCTATTTATCCATATGTCAGTCAGGATTATCTTCAGCTTAATGGTATGGAAGAGTATACAGGCATTTAAAAATGTCTTAGTATTAACTGAAAGGAATTATAATTAAAATTCACACCTCTTGATTTATAACTATCTTTTTCTCTCCCATCTTTTTCCCAGTGACTGTAACTGTGCTAAATGAATTTGTCTTAAGACCCATTAACCCTTTCAGGGTCGACAGGCCCTCTCCCAGACTTGTTCTCAGGGTCGCCCAAATTTAAAAAAAAAAAAAAAAATCTTATGAAAAGATAGAGAATCTTTTCCCGATCATAATGACACCAAAACTATGAAATCTGATGGAAAACTTACCGAGTTATGCTCTCGCGAAGTTAGTGGTCTCAGCAATGTTTACGCATCGGCGATTTTGCCCACTTTGAGCCCTATTTTCGGCCAATTCCAGTGTACTAGTCGACAAAAATCATAACTATTTCGCTAGAACTCCATTTTTTCTATTGAATGAGTACAAGAAACCACTCATTTACCAATTTCAACTATCCAATACAGTGGTCAGAATTTAGAAATTTTGCCAATTGCACATAAATTTCAAAAGATGCCAATTTCCAAATAGGGTCCAGAATAAACAAGAAAGACATTCCTGGCACTAAAATAACATTTCCTCTGTTTATTAGTCACGTCCCCATGCCCCTCTTACATTCTTTTGCTTTCCACTTTGAACTTTTATTCTCACAAAAAAAAAAGAAATAGAAGATTTACTGTTATGCAGACTACTGCATTAGTGTAGAAATGGTATAAATAATATCAGCACACTTGTGAAAGAATATTAGACTCCCCAGTTGACGTGTATTGGACGCTTGGGATGATTTGTTTACTTTTGAACTTTGGTAAAAATCAAAAATTTCTGCTACTTTGAACTCAATTTCAAGGTACTTTTCATTGTAAAACCAGTCAAAATGATCTCAATTTCTGTAATATGTCTTCCGTTCTATAAAATGAGACCAGGAAAACTAGAATACAACAATAAATACCATACGAAAATACAGTGCAAAGTCACTTTTTTTTATCCAAAAACAGTCAATTTTTTTTTCGCATTGTACACTATGTGCTGCAGGATTTTTTTTATACTGCTCACACTGACCACATAGACCCATTCTTTCATATGTAGGCCTACCAGCTTTCTCTCACTAGATTTGAGGGTGCTAGAATTTAGGCATACTAGTATGTCAAAAACCCTGGTGCAAAAGCCGTACTAGTACGTACTGAAAGGGCTAAATTTACTCTTCATTCATTTGATAAAATCCAGTTAGGTTATGAGACTAACCTGGAGTTTACCAAATTGCTGCTCTACAGCTGGTTATAAGAATTTTCCTTGCTTGTTTTAATGGTACTACCATCATGTTTTATTATGGTAATTGTAGACAACATTGTGAGGTTGCTTACAAAATTATTTTTTGCTTTAAATATAGTATTGCAATAGACTGTATATTGGAATACAGCAGTGGAATTGTTAAAGAAACTAATGCATGTATATTTTTTCACTGAGGATGGGCCTTTTTTTTTTTAATGGAAATAAAAATGCCTTTGATATACCCTGTGCAGTATAAATTTGTTCTAAGTGAGGTAATAATGGTGTACCAACATTGCATATTAAAGTGATAGGTGATAGTCAACATTTTCTTCTCTAGATGTTGCCCGTGTTGTGAATGCTCCCATTTTCCATGTCAACGCTGATGATCCAGAAGCTGTTATGCATGTTTGTAATGTGGCTTCAGACTGGCGTCACACTTTCCATAAGGTATGGACCAATTCATGATAAATTGAGATAAATAAATCTGCCCCGGTATACTTAGTATAAAAGTTGAAAATATGTTGGAATACTTTTTTTATTACTTAGTTAACCCTTGACTGTTGCAAGCCCATTTCTGAAATTGTCTTCCTATGTCAAAAAATATTCAAAAAAATAAAAAAAATTATTTTTCTTATCAAAATGTTAGGATTAATTTGCTGAGTGTTTTAAGCCTAAAAATTTTTTTTGCAATCAGTACTTACTGAGATATAGAGGTGTAAAGTTGGCAGAAAATGAGCCGCACATAGCAACAGCGGCGAATGCCGCTGTTGCTATGTGCACATTACTAAAGTGCACATTACTAAAGTAATGTGCAAAATTTGGCTGGTACATAAACATATATATTGATATACTGTATATGTAATTTTTATTTTTTAAGGATGTAGTTATTGATCTGGTCTGCTATCGGCGCAACGGCCACAATGAAATTGATGAGCCGATGTTTACACAGCCCCTGATGTATAATAGAATTAGAAAACTGAAGCCAGTTCTTGAACTGTATGCAGAAAAGCTTATTAAGGAAGGAGTGGTAACAGCAGAGGAAGTGAAGGTTAGTGAGAGTATATTTAAATTATAGTTGAAAATAGTTTTAGTACCGCATTAGTTATCTCCAGTAGATACAGATATGGCATAACTTAGTTTTTAATTATTATTTTTGTGTAGTTTTTTTTCCATTTTGTATGATCATATTACCATTGCTAGTATCTTTTTCACATCTACAAACATCAAGTTTTTAAATTTTATTTTTTTATATATAAACTTAAATATTGCAGATGTTTTTTATGGATTTGGCTCGGAGAAAATTAGTAAAGGTTGAGTATCCCTCGTCTGAAATGCTTAGGGTCGGAAGTGTCTTGGATTTCAGAATTTTTCAGATTTTGAAATATAATGAGATAGCTTGGGAATGGGACCCAAGTCTAAACATGAAATCCGTTTATATTTCATGTACACTTTATACACAGCCTGAAGGTAGTTTTGTAGAATATTTTTAATAAAGCATTTTTTGTTATAAAAGCTGCACAATAGCATTGGCAGAATAACTGCATCAGCTGTTAAAAAACAGCAGGCTGTCTCCACCCACAATGGCAAGTTTTGATCAAAAGGCTACTGTACACTATTTTTTCTTATCACTCTTACCCATAGGGTAACTGCAGGCCTTTTTGACATTTTCAACAATATCTGCACCACTTAACGGAGAATAAGCACAAAACACACAGTAATCACATTATTGGCTAGGTCGGTTAATAATCTTGGACAGTTAACATCACAGGTTGAGAATATGTAATGTACCATATTTTACAACTTTTTTGTTTAATATTTAAAAAATATATCTAAATAAAAAAATTAAATATTTTCTAGGAATCCCTGCAGTATAATATGTTGCCTCCAGAAAATGACTAGTATGATTGTAATATCTTGAGCCCAAAAGATATTAAATAGCATTATATACTTTACAGGAAGTGAAAGATAAATATGAAAAGATTCTTGAGGAAGCTTTCACATCAGCAAAGTCAGAGACGCGTGTCTTCAACAAGCACTGGATTGATTCTCCGTGGTCTGGCTTCTTTGAGGGAAAAGATCCACTGAAAGCCACCCCAACTGGTATCCATGAGGACACTATTACTCATATTTGTAAACGTTTTGCAAGTGCGCCACCTAATGCTAGTGATTTTGTGATTCATCGTGGTCTGCAGCGTATCTTAAGCAGTAAGTCCACTTACTATCCAGTTTGTTAGCGGATAGTAGTCTTAGCTTCCGGCACCCTGCCTTTGTAAAGGTAGCTTGGGAGTAACTGCTTTGGTGAGAAACAGTCAGTGCATTATAACACAATGTATTTTTATAAATAATATAGCCTCTCAATGTTCATTGTTTTATATTTGAGATACCCTTAATACATGCAGCACAGTACATTTGTCTCTTGACATTTGGTACATTAGCTAGCAATCAGGCCTGGAACCCTCCACACACAAACTACTTTTTTCCTTCAGTGCTAAATCACCTTAATGCAATGGGCTTTGAATAGCAAATGGAACAAACTTCTAAGTAACATCATTGAAGCTAAAATGTTGTGTAGTTTTAAAAATAGGTTAGACAAATACAGTGGACCCCCGACTTATGATTTTAATTCATTCCAGAAGTCTGTTCGAATGCTGTTGCCGAACGAATTTGTTCCTATAAGGAATATTGTAAATTAGATTAGTCTGTTTCAGGCCCCCAAAAATACACAGACAAAAGCACTTACAAAAACACACTCACATAATTGTTCGAGTTGGGAGCTGATCATAAGGCGGGGGTCCACTGTACATGAATGGGTGTGGGTGGGTGTTGGATTTGAACAGGTTGTGCTAATAGGCCTACAGTAGTGCTCCTTGAGCAGGTGTAACTTGGTCCTGCCTAGCATGAGCTAGTAAGCCTGCTGCAATGCTCCTTTTTTATTTTTGTGTCAAGGGGTAGGGGCCTGTTGTTTGGGAAAGATGCCACTTTCCTTTTCCAGCAGTGTTCTTGCCTGACTAACAAGGCAGCTTCTCTTTTGGTATAAATGGTGCAGAGATTTCTCTCTGGTTTAAATTTGCTGACAGTTTTGACCAGTGACAGCAAATTCATATCAGTGTGAATTTTAGAGACATGTACTGTCTATATTCTGTTTTGGATTTTACTGTTATCTGTTGAAGTATCACTCATATTTTATTAATTGCGACCAATTTTTTTGATCCACTGTTAAATATATAAATGCCCTTGAAAGTAGAGTTTCATGGTTCTTATGACTAAGATTTATTTATATTTTCTTGGACAGGCCGCATGGAAATGATTCAGGCACGTACTGTGGACTGGGCAATGGGTGAAGCTGTTGCATTCGGGTCCTTGTTAAAGGAAGGTATCCACGTGCGACTTTCAGGCCAGGATGTAGAAAGAGGAACCTTCTCACATCGTCACCACATTCTTCATCATCAAAAGGTATTTATAACCACACAGGTCAATCAGTTAAAAAATCTTGCCTTTTTTCTTATTACCAATATTTTCATGAGTCTTACATTTTGCATTTGCTAATTTTTAAGTAAAAGGCCTATTTTTTTTTATTATGCAACTTACTGTGGTAGAAGAATAATTTATAGAGATTTAAAATGGTTTGAGTTAGATTTTGGATAAAGCATTTTTTTCAGAAAAGCATATAAAGGATGGAGAGTATTGATATAAAGCATAGCATGTGATTTGCTGATGGAAGTATGTTACAGTAGTAGACGACATGTGTATGCAGTGCTTGTAAATGCAGAGACTTCGACTTGTCTAAATTGTTGCATGTATACTGTAGTCACTCCAATCACTGAAGCGAAGTTTAAAAATATTGCTTGAAAACAAAAGCAGCTTTTTGATTTATTGAATAGTGACTTACAGTAGGTGTTGCAAAATTTATACAGCCTCTCTTCACTTAACAACTTACTTGTTTACTGACAACTCTCTGACCAGTATGCATACATAAATAATGTATATTAAAGCTGATTTCCTCTATTCTGTTTATTACAGTATACAGTACAGTACTGTATAAACATTTAAAAATATACCTGAAATATTATAAATGGTGCAAAGGTGACATTAAAACAATATCAGAGATGGTTGACACAAACCCACTACCATTATAGTATGCTCCTCGCTTAGTGACGAATTTGTTTACTGATGTGGTCTTAGGAATGGAACTCCGTGTTTAATTAACCCTTTGAGGGTCGACAGGCCCTCTCCGAAACTCGTTCTCAGGGTCGGCCAAATTTAAAAAAAAAAAATTATTTTCTCTTATGAAAAGATAGAGAATCTTTTCCCGATCATAACGACACCAAAAGTTTGAAATTTGATAGAAAACTTACGGAATTATGCTCTCGCAAAGTTAGCGGTCTCGGCGATGTTTACGCATCGGCGATTTTGCCCACTTTGAGCCCCATTTTCAGCCAATTTCACTGTACTAGTCGACAACAAACATGAATATTTCGCTAGAACTCCATTTTTTCTATCGAATGGGTGCAAGAAACCACCCATTTATAAATTCAACTATCCAGTACAGTGGTCAGAATTTAGCAATTTTGCCAATTTCACACAAATTTCAAAAGATGCCAGTTTCCGAATAGGGTCCAGAATAAACAAGAAAGACATTCCTGGCACTAAAATGACATTTCCTCTAGTCATTAGTCACGTCTCAAGGCCCCTCTTATATTATTTTGCTTTCCACTTTGAATTTTTATTCTCACAAAAAATATAAGATTTACTGTTATGCAGACTACTGCATTAGTGTAAAAAATGGTATAAATATTATTGGTGCACTTGTAAAAGAATATTAGACTCACCAGTTGACGTGTATTGCACGCTTGGCACGATTTGTTTACTTTTGAAGTTTGGTAAAAATCGAACATTTCTGCTACTTTGAGCTCAATTTCAAGGCACCTTTCATTGTAAAACCAGTCAAAATCATCTCAATTTCAGTAATATGTCTTCCATTCTATAAAATGAGACCAAGAAAACTAGAATACAACAATAAATACCATACGAAAATACACTGCAAAGTCGCTGATTTATTAAAAAAAAATGGTCAAAGTTTTTTTTTTTCTCATTATGCACTGTGTGCTGCAGGATTTTTTTTAGACTGTGCACACTGACCACATAGACCCATTCTTTCATATGAAGGCCTACCAGCTTTCTCCCACTAGATTTGAGGCCGCTAGAATTTATGAGTACTAGTACGTCAAAAACCCCTACGCGTAAGACGTACTAGTACGACGAAAACCCTCAAAGGGTTAAGTGAGGAGAAGCTGTATTTGAAATGGATGAAATTAATTTATAGCGAAAATATATAATTTTTACGGTGTTCCAGAAATGTATAATTTTCTTGTAAAAGTAGCAAGGGTAACTGTATTTACGATAATGCTATGAAGAATGTAATTTGTATAATTGGATTTAATAGTATGTAAAATTGGGGGAAAATAATATTTTGTAGCAGTAGTAAGTACGTGTTATTTATTTTGATAGCGTTATTTATATACAGTATTTTTCATGGTTTTAGCAAATACATGTAAGAGATGGTAGTTTGTAAGCTCTAGGACTTCTATAGAAGTAGTATACGAGGTTCAGACCTAGTGTTCAGGCAGCATGGAGCTTGCTGGTGGAATCCTCTAGTGCATGCAATAATGATGCGCTCGAGCATGAACAAATGTACTTCTGTGACTTACTTCTTTGTTGGATTCACCCGTTGTTCTATAGAAAAAGGAGTACTACTAAATTTAATTGGTTGGTTCCTTATTTTACTCTTACAGCAAATTATAAAAAGGAGAGCAGAGATTAACAGATGAAAAGGATAAATTTGAGGAACAGGTAGTGGACTTGTTGGTTGTGAGAGTACTGATGTGAGGAGGAGTAGGAGTAGGAATAGGAACAGGAACAGGAACAACAGCTTGCTCTTTGTTATTTTGATATTTATTTTTAACTTCACTCTCACTGCAGTGCCACTGGGTAGTTTGTAATTTTTCTTCGCTGCTGCATTATTTCAATAAGTAAAGTGCTGTTCTTTAAATTCATCGTTACTTTCTTGGTCTTGTATCTTGCTATCTTTTAATGTATGTACTTATCAAGAGCATCTCTATTATCTTTATTCATTTTTGTTTTTATGCAAGCAAGTGGCAACTAATTCGTACTTATAGCTAAAGCTTTTGTAGACTTCTTTGATAAATACTGTATCAGGTGCTCCATAGGAAGCTTAAATATTTGAAGGCATTTGAAATGTGTGAAGGATAGGCATTAAGCTGACATAATGTTAGAAAGAATTGAGGAAGCATTAGAGATCTGTGATTAAAAAAAAGTAAATGACCAGAATAGAAGTAAATGTCTATTGTTTCTTGAAGTGTTGTCTGCATTGCCATGTCTAGTATTGTTTGGTATTAGTACTCTCATGGTAGCTGCTTAGGTAAAATATATTAGCAGTTTACTCTGAGAAAGTAATGTTTTTAAGGTGTGAAGTTGAGATTCAACATGTTCTATAGCTGATTTGTATGTTTTGCTGTAAATTTGATGTCTTAAATCTACTAATATAGCAACGTTAGCAAGGAATTAATGAAAGGAGTCTTGTGGCTGTCCCTGCATGTATGATACTACTGTTAATATTTCAGATGACAAATGACACTCCAGTAAGGCGGTAGATGATAACGTCTTCAGCAGCCTCTGTTAGATGATTGTTCAGTAACTTTGTGGCAATGAGAATTTTGGCAGCTTTTACACACACTAATTTCCTGATTGTATATGCTCTCTGAAGTTAGTTTGGCTTATATTAACCCATAAGATAGCATTTTGTTTGTAAATATTTTTTTCATAACATACCATTGCAAATTTTATTGAAACTATGAGCAAATGGCTGCTGTTTGTTTTTCATTCAGTTGCCTCAGAGAAATAAGTACAGTAGACAGTCATTTAGCACGAGTTTATTTGGCATGATTTGGGTATAGCACGATTGAACAATTGCGGCACAATTTTATGTAACACGTCGTAAAATGAATTTAACATGGTTCGGTTTGAGGGAAGGAAAAAATTCCCTTTTCCTCAAGCTGCCGCCTTGCTGTGCATCAGCGGAGGAGACCTCCCAGCCACCCCCGACACCACTCCTCCATCCCAGCATTCGTACTTCATACGTGTCCAGTTCAACTTCTCTGCTACAAGCTTGTGATTGTGAATTGTTTTGATCTTTTAATTGCTAGATCTTGTATCTGCCAAGCAATCATGACACCCAGTAGGCATACCAGTGTTGCTCAAAGTGACAAGAAAAGGTTTAAGCATTTAAGTCTTAGAATTAACGAAGGAAACAAAGATATTAGACAAGACATAACCTGTGATCATAATGAAGTGTTACTTTGTACACATAAAAAGAGGTAAACATAAGTTTGTGTGACTGACTTACTGGATGACTTGACTGACTTACTGGATGACTTGACTGACTTACTGGATGACTTGACTGACTTACTGGATGACTTGACTGACTTACTGGATGACTTGACTGACTTACTGGATGACTTTACTGACTTACTGAACGACTTGACTGACTTACTGAACGACTTGACCGACTTACTGACCAATTTGACTGACTTACTGAATGACTCGACTGACTTGCTGAATGACTCGACTGACTTGCTGAATGACTCGACTGACTTGCTGAATGACTCGACTGACTTGCTGAATGACTCGACTGACTTGCTGAATGACTCGACTGACTTGCTGAATGACTCGACTGACTTGCTGAATGACTCGACTTACTTGCTGAATGACTCGACTGACTTGCTGAATGACTCGACTGACTTGCTGAATGACTCGACTGACTTGCTGAATGACTCGACTGACTTGCTGAATGACTCAACTGACTTGCTGAATGACTCGACTGACTTGCTGAATGACTCGACTGACTTGCTGAATGACTCGACTGACTTGCTGAATGACTCGACTGCCCAGCAGGGCCACAGCATTGCTCTCAACTCTCTTCACAATGATCCACAAACACCAGCACCCACAATTTAAGGTAAGAAATACTATTATTTCTGTTACATTTGTCGTCTTAAGCAGTAAAAACAACAACAATACATCACAATGAACTAAAATTACATATTCACTTTTATTTTTGTATGATGTGGAGGCCTAAAAAATTTTTTGGCTTTTTTTGGGGCTCAGGAACATAACCCTATTTTTCCTATAAGTTCTTCAGTTCATCTAACACGGTGTTACCTCACACGGCATTTTCAGGAACATAACTACTGTGTTAAATGACAGTCTACTGTATATTAATACCAACAAAATGGGAATACTATTATAACTGTCGTTTCTTTTATTTCTCTTTAATGGATGCTGTGAAGATTTACTAGTAATCATGGAACCTATCAGTAATCCTTAGCAATTAAAAATCTTTGAAGGCCTATTTGAAATAGCTCTACTGTTCTACATATTTTTTTGTGGGAAAGTAAATGGAATTGAACTGATATAAAAATGGTGAAATATATGAGAAAATGAAACAGCATCCATTGAGAGGGTAATTTAAATGTTTAGAGAATATAGGAGACCAAGAAGTGGTGCTGCATAGTGAGAGTAGCCTAGAAAAATACTGTCATTAACTGGAGAAAAGGGAGTGCTTTACTGTTGCCATGGTAATTATTCCAGTAATGACTAAGGCCAGTAAGTGGTCTTAGTCCCAAGATTTTATTGCACATTGCTGTATATTACATAGTGTTATTGAAACATTTTAATGAAATCTAAACTAGTGAACATTAAATTGCTATTTTTTAACTCTTAGGTTCTTATCACATTAGATAATGAAAGTTTTCCATATTCATTTATAAATAGGACAAAGGATTTTTTAGATCATGAAGGAGAAAGTTTCTAAGAGATTCTTCATAGTTGACAGTCAAGGACTAGTGCCAAAGCATTTTTTTTTTTAACAAGTTGGCCGTCTCCCACCAAGGCAGGGTGGCCCAAAAAGAAAATACTTTCATCATTCAACACTTTCACCTCACTCATACATAATCACCATTTTTGCAGAGGTGCCCAGAACACAACAGTTTAGAAGCATATGTGTATAAAGATACACAACATATCCCTCCAAATTGCCAGTGTCCCAAACCCCCTCCTTTAAAGTGCAGGCATTGTACTTCCCATTTCCAGTACTCAAGTCCGGCTATATAAAAATAACCAGTTTCCCTGAATCCCTTCACTAAATATTACCCTGCTCACACTCCAACAGCTTGACAGGTTTCAAATACCATTTGTATCCATTCAATCCTATCTAATACGCTCACGCATGCTTGCTGGAGAGTCGTATTTCATGTGCCTTCAGTCTGTTTTCATCTTTATTTTTTGTATTTTATATTTTTTACAGTGAAATCTAACATTATATTGTTAAATGAGTTTGTGAGTGTACTGTTGCATGTTGAAAATGATCATCCACGATGACCTAGGTTTTTATGTTGTGTTCGTAATTTTTTTTTTTTTTTGGGGGGGGGGGGGGGGGGCATGGCTTCTGAAACTTAAAATAAGTCAAAATCTGACTTTATGTAAAATGTTTTGTAAAAGACTCTCCTAGGATAGTGCTGTACTTTCCAAATGTTCTTGCTGTATTGTTATCACTGATACTGCTGTAGTCTTGCTTGTAAGAGTTAGTATTTTGTATCTTCGCTCTAATTTAATTTCATATTGTTCATTTGTGTTCAGAATACTAAAGGAAAATTTTGAATGTGAAGTTTGGTTGTGCTATTTATAGTAAGAACATCACAAGTCTCTGGAGTGTGTTAGTGAGGCAATAAGATACAAGGTTGTTGTAGAATATTAGGAATACCTGTTTTTTTTTTTTATCATAACTGAAATTTACCTGGTTGTCCTCAGGTGGATAAATCTCAGTACAATTCTCTAGCAAACTTGTACCCAGATCAAGCCCCATACACAGTGTGCAACTCTTCACTGTCTGAGTATGCAGTCTTGGGCTTTGAGCTGGGATTCTCCATGACTAATCCCAATGCTTTGGTGCTCTGGGAGGCGCAGTTCGGAGACTTCAACAACACAGCACAATGCATCATTGACCAGTTCATATCTTCTGGACAGTCAAAATGGATTAGGCAGACTGGTCTTGTCTTAATGTTACCTCATGGTTTGGAAGGAATGGTAAGTGGAAATAGTGAGACAGAACAAATTGTTAGGGATGCATGCACTGTGCTTCATGCCAGGGATAATCAACCTGCCTTTCAAAGTTTGAGTAAATTAAATTTGAAAAAAAAAAAAAATGTTAATCATTATACACAGTAAAGGTGTGAAATTAGGTACAGAATGTTAATTCAAATAGGTCTAAAATATTTGATAAAAATAAAGTTTTTCTGTTTTTTTAATATTTTTTTTTTTAACAAGTCGGCTGTCTCCCGCCGAGGCAGGGTGACCCAAAAAGAAAGAAAATCCCCAAAAAGAAAATACAGTGGACCCTCGAGATTCGTGATTAATCTGTTCCAGCTGCCTTCCTTTCCCTACAGATTTATATGCTCACCAAGTCATTCTACTTTGTTCCATTCTCTCTAAATGACCAAACCACCTCAACAACCCCTCTTCAGCTCTCTGACTAATACTTTTAGTAACTCTACACCTCCTGATTTTCACACTATGAATTCTCTGCATAATATTTACACCACCCACTGCCCTTAGACATGGCTTCTCCACTGTCTCCATAAATAATTTATTAAATAAAATTGGTTGGTAGACAGCAGCCACCCACGAAGGTACTACTGTTCTCCCAAGTGAGTCTTTTGTCTGTCTCGTAAACATGCAAGATTTCAGGTACGTTTTGCTACCTCTACTTACACTTAGGTCACACTACACAAGTATACATGTACACACCCCTCTGGGTTTTCTTCTATTTTCTTTCTAGTTCTTGTTCTTGTTTATTTCCTCTTATCCCCATGGGGAAGTGGAACAGAATTCTTCCTCTTTAAGCCATGTGTGTTGTAAGAGGCGACTAAAATGCCGGGAGCAAGGGGCTAGTAACCCCTTCTCCTGTATACATTACTGAAGTTAAAAAGAGAAACTTTTGTTTTTCTTTTGGGCCACCCTGCCTCGGTGGGAAACAGCCTTTTGTTGAACGAAGTAGTAGTAGTATGCAAGATTTCAGGTACGTCTTGTTACTTCAACTTACATTTAGGTTACACTACACATGCATGTACAAGCATATATATACACACCCTTCTGGATTTTCTTCTATTTTTCTTACTAGTTCTTGTCTATTTCTGCTTATCTCCATGTGGAAGTGGAACAGAATTCTTCCTCCATAAGCCATGCATGTTGTAAGAGGTGACTAAAATGCCGGGAGCAAAGGGTTAGTAACCCCTTCTCCTGTATATATTACTAAATGTATAAGGAGACACTTTCATTTTTCCTTTTGGGCCACCCCGCCTCGGTGGGATATGGCCAGTGTGTTGAAAAAAAAATTTGGATCTGTTTATGTATACTTTGAACCAGGTGTTTGCCATTTGAATTCTTGTAGTATTGAAATGTTTTCACTCCCCAAAACTGGAAATTTTCCCCTAAAACATAAATGATGATCTGTGGATTTTAGTTCATTAGTTTCCTATTTTGGGGTCACCTTATCTTGGCAAAAAATAGTGATGTAAAAAAATATTTTTTGATAGTTTATCTTAAAAAACAAATTATTATTTTTATTATTATCACACTGGCCGATTCCCACCAAGGCAGGGTGGCCCGAAAAAGAAAAACTTTCACCATCATTCACTCCATCACTGTCTTGCCAGAAGGGTGCTTTACACTACAGTTTTTAAATTGCAGCATTAACACCCCTCCTAATACCTAATACCTAATACCAAATACCATGAATTGCTATATTTGCAGGGTCCTGAGCACTCAAGTGCCCGCCTTGAACGGTTCTTACAGATGACCTCTGATGATCCTGATGTTCTTCCTGCATTCTCAAGTGACTTTGCAATCAGACAGTTGTCCGACATTAACTGGATTGTAAGAACAAACAGTATTTGCATTTAATGTAAAAATTAGTCAATGCATATTGAGGTATCCTTAAAATGCATCAAATAATGTTGTCATGTTTATTTCTTCTTTACTCTTTGCTAGATTATAGAATGAGTGCCTTATGCATTGATTTGAAACTTAAAATACTTATGAATGCTCATAAAAGGAATTTTGCTCTGTTAATATGGATTTGTATGATTCTGCAGAATCCAATGTCCCTGCCAATTTCATTTTCTTAATTTTTTGTTTCCTTTTGTGTATTGACTTTCTTAATGAATCACAGGTTGCTAACTGTTCTACGCCAGCCAACTTGTTCCACATCCTTCGACGACAGATAGCTCTTCCTTTCCGAAAGCCACTGATTCTCATGACTCCCAAGTCTCTTCTTAGACACCCAGATGCTAAATCCTCCTTTGATGAAATGGTGGAGGGTACTGAATTCCAGAGGTATGGTTGATTTTTGCATAATGGAAAGCTTGTACAAGCAATATGACCATATATAAATCAAATCTGTGGTATTCAGAGGTAATTTGTTCATGAGCAAATTCATCCAGACCAAGTTAGCGAATAGCAGGGAAACAGGAACTGAATTTAATAAAAATATACCTTCTAAAGAAGATATAGGAAAGTGAAGTAGCTAATCATACTGTCTTTTCATCAGAATAATCCCAGAGAAAGGCATAGCAGCAGAGAATCCAGCAGGTGTGAAACGGCTAATCTTCTGCTCAGGCAAGGTTTACTACGACCTCATTGCTGCTCGCAGGGAAGCTGGTATTGAGGATAAGGTCGCCATTACCAGAGTGGAGCAGGTAATTGATAATACATTAGTTAAAATTTGAACGCAATAACATTTACTTTAAAATATTCTAAAATAAGATATTTCATAAGACTGCTTGGAACCATTAAAAGTCATAAAATGAATACATATAAGACCTATAACACCTTCAGAAATTTCATATGCTGTGCAGATAGTGAGGGCTAGATGTGTATAGCAACTCGGATATTTTATTCCAGATTCATAATTCTACATTTGATTACATGGTTATCTATTGTCTTCGTGCATCTTCCTCTTTAGAAAAACTGTGGCAACATTTTTGTTTAAAGAGAATGTGAATCAGAGTTTGTATTGTATTGATTACAGCTCTTTTCTTAAAATGTATAAGGCACATTTTACATTTAAGTTTCAGTACTTTTTCACATGGCTTAATTAGAGCAGTGTAACAAATGCAGTTCCTGTAAAATACCATTTGCTAAACCTTATGAAGGATTACTCTTGTGTTTTTGGTTATGGATTCCGAGCAATCAAACGTAATGAAAGTGTATTAACTCCTGATTAGACAGTGGGAAAAACACATACACATGTATATACATGTGCGCACACACGTACACACGTTACATGTACACACACACACACGTACACACACACACGTACACACACACGTACACACACACACGTACACACACACATACACACACACATACACACACACACATACACACACACACGTAACACACACACACGTACACACACACACGTACACACACACGTACACACACACACGTACACACACACGTACACACACACACGTACACACACACACACGTACACACACACACATGTACACACATGTACACACACACGTACACACACGTACACACACACGTACACACACGTACACACACATGTACACACATGTACACACGTACACACATGTACACACGTACACACACACACACGTACACACACACACACGTACACACACACACACGTACACACACACACGTACACACACACACGTACACACACACACGTACACACACACACACGTACACACACACACACGTACACACACACACACGTACACGTACACACACACGTACACGTACACACACACGTACACACACACGTACACACACACACACACGTACACACATACACGTACACACACGTACACATATACACGTACACACATGTACACAATGTATGTACACACACGTACACACACGCATGTGTGCGCGCACACATACAATAGGCCTCGTGTTTAATTGACATGTGCCTAAGACAAAATGATAACTAACACACATGCGTGCACATGCACACTCACGCATATGTACCTATGTACATATTTTTCAGTTGTCTCAAACCAAATGTTAAAACAATATGACTTATAAAAGTACTTAGAAATTTCTGGAATCTGTGCCTTCATCTAAAGATACAAATAAACCCAATACATTTTTTATTTTTTCATATAACTTCTCTGGATGTTTTGTGTCAGACTGTGGATAGAATTGTGTTTGAGCATTCACTGATATAGCATTATTCATTGGCAATAACTCAGATATGTTATTGATTAAATTACTTTTTACTAAAATCTTGTTCATGTTTTTTTCAGATTGCTCCATTCCCATATGATTTGGTAAAGCAGGAATGTGATAAGTATCCAGATGCTGATTTGGTATGGTCACAAGAAGAGCACAAAAACATGGGTTCATGGTCATACATTCAGCCACGCATAGCTACTGCGCTTAATCACGAAAGACATATTTCGTAAGTAATAAAATATATTTTTCATGATTGCAGTGTTCATTGAAGCATAAGTATGTTGGCAGAAGTTTTTGTCTTATGGAGTAACACAAAATTTGATTAAGTATACCATTTTAGTACAATAGGATCCCCCATATCTATGGATTTGGTGTCCGTGGTTTCAGTTATTCACGGTTTACTGTGGCCCAAAAGTAACCCTTTATTTTACTTAGTAATGGTCCCAAAGCACAAAAGTTGTAATGCTGGCAGTTCTACAAAGCCTAAGAGAAGCTGTGAAATGCTTCCCATTAGTGAAAGAGTGCACTCAGTATGTAGGGTTCACTACTACCCATGGTTTCAGGTATCCACGGTAGGTCTTGGAACGCATCCCCAGTGGATACTGGGGAATTACTGTATTACGCTTTTGATTAAGGTTCATACATTAATAAAAATTATTTTATTTCTGAACTAGTAATTCTAAAATGCCAGACCATTTAAACAAATTTTTAAATGTGTTGTAATTTCAGTTGGTTGTATATTAGTTATTGTTTTTCTGTCACTTGCATTCTTTTGTATTAAATTGATATCAGTTAAGACTAGTTTTTTTTTTTTTTATTTATTTATTTATTTGATGGGCTGTTGGAGGAGGAAGATAGTATCTGTTAGGGTATGTCACACACAGGTATGGGATTCATTGATATTAGTTGGACTTGAGGTCTGGAGATGGCCGTGCTCTTCAAGATAACGAGTATTTTTTTCATTGGGTCGCCTACCTTGGTGAACAGCTAGTGTGATAAAAAAGAAAAATAGGCTCATTTCATAAAGGGAAAGATACCGTCCTGCCAGATGACTGTGAAACAAAAACCTGTAATTGTTTTGCATGATGGTAGGATTGCTGGTTTCTTTTTCTGTCTCATAAACACGCTAAGATAACAGGGATATCTTGCTACTCCTACTTACACTTTGGTCACACTTCACAGACACGCACATGCATATATATATATACATACATCTAGGTTTTTCTCCTTTTTCTAAATAGCTCTTGTTCTTTTTTATTTCTTCTATTGTCCATGGGGAAGTGGAAAAGAATCTTTCCTCCGTAAGCCATGCGTGTCGTATGAGGCGACTAAAATGCCGGGAGCAATGGGCTAGTAACCCCTTCTCCTGTATACAATTACTAAAAAAGAGAAGAAGAAAAACTTTATAAAACTGGGTTGCTTAAATGTGCGTGGATGTAGTGCGGATGACAAGAAACAGATGATTGCTGATGTTATGAATGAAAAGAAGTTGGATGTCCTGGCCCTAAGCGAAACAAAGCTGAAGGGGTAGGAGAGTTTCAGTGGGGGGAAATAAATGGGATTAAATCTGGAGTATCTGAGAGAGTTAGAGCAAAGGAAGGGGTAGCAGTAATGTTAAATGATCAGTTATGGAAGGAGAAAAGAGAATATGAATGTGTAAATTCAAGAATTATGTGGATTAAAGTAAAGGTTGGATGCGAGAAGTGGGTCATAATAAGCGTGTATGCACCTGGAGAAGAGAGGAATGCAGAGGAGAGAGAGAGATTTTGGGAGATGTTAAGTGAATGTATAGGAGCCTTTGAACCAAGTGAGAGAGTAATTGTGGTAGGGGACTTGAATGCTAAAGTAGGAGAAACTTTTAGAGAGGGTGTGGTAGGTAAGTTTGGGGGGCCAGGTGTAAATGATAATGGGAGCCCTTTGATTGAACTTTGTATAGAAAGGGGTTTAGTTATAGGTAATACATATTTTAAGAAAAAGAGGATAAATAAGTATACACGATATGATGTAGGGCGAAATGACAGTAGTTTGTTGGATTATGTATTGGTAGATAAAAGACTGTTGAGTAGACTTCAGGATGTACATGTTTATAGAGGGGCCACAGATATATCAGATCACTTTCTAGTTGTAGCTACACTGAGAGTAAAAGGTAGATGGGATACAAGGAGAATAGAAGCATCAGGGAAGAGAGAGGTGAAGGTTTATAAACTAAAAGAGGAGGCAGTTAGGGTAAGATATAAACAGCTATTGGAGGATAGATGGGCTAATGAGAGCATAGGCAATGGGGTCGAAGAGGTATGGGGTAGGTTTAAAAATGTAGTGTTAGAGTGTTCAGCAGAAGTTTGTGGTTACAGGAAAGTGGGTGCAGGAGGGAAGAGGAGCGATTGGTGGAATGATGATGTAAAGAGAGTAGTAAGGGAGAAAAAGTTAGCATATGAGAAGTTTTTACAAAGTAGAAGTGATGCAAGGAGGGAAGAGTATATGGAGAAAAAGAGAGAGGTTAAGAGAGTGGTGAAGCAATGTAAAAAGAGAGCAAATGAGAGAGTGGGTGAGATGTTATCAACAAATTTTGTTGAAAATAAGAAAAAGTTTTGGAGTGAGATTAACAAGTTAAGAAAGCCTAGAGAACAAATGGATTTGTCAGTTAAAAATAGGAGAGGAGAGTTATTAAATGGAGAGTTAGAGGTATTGGGAAGATGGAGGGAATATTTTGAGGAATTGTTAAATGTTGATGAAGATAGGGAAGCTGTGATTTCGTGTATAGGGCAAGGAGGAATAACATCTTGTAGGAGTGAGGAAGAGCCAGTTGTGAGTGTGGGGGAAGTTCGTGAGGCAGTAGGTAAAATGAAAGGGGGTAAGGCAGCCGGGATTGATGGGATAAAGATAGAAATGTTAAAAGCAGGTGGGGATATAGTTTTGGAGTGGTTGGTGCAATTGTTTAATAAATGTATGGAAGAGGGTAAGGTACCTAGGGATTGGCAGAGAGCATGCATAGTTCCTTTGTATAAAGGCAAAGGGGATAAAAGAGAGTGCAAAAATTATAGGGGGATAAGTCTGTTGAGTGTACCTGGTAAAGTGTATGGTAGAGTTATAATTGAAAGAATTAAGAGTAAGACGGAGAATAGGATAGCAGATGAACAAGGAGGCTTTAGGAAAGGTAGGGGGTGTGTGGACCAGGTGTTTACAGTGAAACATATAAGTGAACAGTATTTAGATAAGGCTAAAGAGGTCTTTGTGGCATTTATGGATTTGGAAAAGGCGTATGACAGGGTGGATAGGGGGGCAATGTGGCAGATGTTGCAAGTGTATGGTGTAGGAGGTAGGTTACTGAAAGCAGTGAAGAGTTTTTACGAGGATAGTGAGGCTCAAGTTAGAGTATGTAGGAAAGAGGGAAATTTTTTCCCAGTAAAAGTAGGCCTTAGACAAGGATGTGTGATGTCACTGTGGTTGTTTAATATATTTATAGATGGGGTTGTAAGAGAAGTAAATGCGAGGGTCTTGGCAAGAGGCGTGGAGTTAAAAGATAAAGAATCACACACAAAGTGGGAGTTGTCACAGCTGCTCTTTGCTGATGACACTGTGCTCTTGGGAGATTCTGAAGAGAAGTTGCAGAGATTGGTGGATGAATTTGGTAGGGTGTGCAAAAGAAGAAAATTAAAGGTGAATACAGGAAAGAGTAAGGTTATGAGGATAACAAAAAGATTAGGTGATGAAAGATTGAATATCAGATTGGAGGGAGAGAGTATGGAGGAGGTGAACGTATTCAGATATTTGGGAGTGGACGTGTCAGCGGATGGGTCTATGAAAGATGAGGTGAATCATAGAATTGATGAGGGAAAAAGAGTGAGTGGTGCACTTAGGAGTCTGTGGAGACAAAGAACTTTGTCCTTGGAGGCAAAGAGGGGAATGTATGAGAGTATAGTTTTACCAACGCTCTTATATGGGTGTGAAGCGTGGGTGATGAATGTTGCAGCGAGGAGAAGGCTGGAGGCAGTGGAGATGTCATGTCTGAGGGCAATGTGTGGTGTGAATATAATGCAGAGAATTCGTAGTTTGGAAGTTAGGAGGAGGTGCGGGATTACCAAAACTGTTGTCCAGAGGGCTGAGGAAGGGTTGTTGAGGTGGTTCGGACATGTAGAGAGAATGGAGCGAAACAGAATGACTTCAAGAGTGTATCAGTCTGTAGTGGAAGGAAGGCGGGGTAGGGGTCGGCCTAGGAAGGGTTGGAGGGAGGGGGTAAAGGAGGTTTTGTGTGCGAGGGGCTTGGACTTCCAGCAGGCATGCGTGAGCGTGTTTGATAGGAGTGAATGGAGACAAATGGTTTTTAATACTTGACGTGCTGTTGGAGTGTGAGCAAAGTAACATTTATGAAGGGATTCAGGGAAACCGGCAGGCCGGACTTGAGTCCTGGAGATGGGAAGTACAGTGCCTGCACTCTGAAGGAGGGGTGTTAATGTTGCAGTTTAAAAACTGTAGTGTAAAGCACCCTTCTGGCAAGACAGTGATGGAGTGAATGATGGTGAAAGTTTTTCTTTTTCGGGCCACCCTGCCTTGGTGGGAATCGGCCGGTGTGATAATAAAAAAAAAATAAAAAAAAATAAAATAATCCCAATATCCCTCAACTGTAGCCCCCTTTATCTCAACCCATGTAAGAAACATGGGAGTTGAGCCTTCAAACCCTCAAGAGGCAGAGGAGCTGTGTCTAGACTTCTGGAAGAGACCCAGGAGCTATAGTAAAATCCTTCCAAGAGGTTCATCAGCTGGAGATCAATACCTTGAATCGATCTTGCCTTGCCTTGGATCGGACCTGTTGGCTTCCCATTCCTCCTTTGAATATAATAGTAACACTAGTTTGAAGAGGACCAGGAGCTTTAGCTATAAATTCTGAAGAAGTCAAACAATCTGACAATGATCCAGGATGGACTGAAATGTTATCCTTAAATTCCTCTCCTAAGTGTGGGTTTTTGGTGAAGAAGTAAGCATTTGTAGCACAACATCCTCAAAGGACTCAGAAACATTGAAGGTTTGAAACCAATTAGTAGGAGTATTCTCCATTTATCATATGGACATCAGTGTCCTGATTTGTATAAGAAAATGGAAAATTAGGACTTAACCCTTTCAGGGTCCAGAGGCCAAATTTCAAAGTGTGCACCAGTGTCCAAGATTTTTCAAAAAATAATTTTGTTATTTTTTCTTATGAAATGGTAAAGATTTTTTCTGAAGGCAATAAAACAAAAAGTACAAAATTTGATGGAAAATTGACGAAATTATGCTCTCACAAATTTTGATGTGTCAGCAATATTTGCGCATCGTCGATTTTGCAGACTTTGACTCCCATTTTAGGTCAATTACATTATTCCAATCGACCAAATTCTTAGCTATTTCACTAGTGTTACTTCTGTTCTATCGATTGAGCACAAGAATTTGCCAATTCAACTGTTTCAACTACAAAATAAAGTGATTGGAAATTGGTAATTTGGCCAATTTAATGCAAAGTTCAAAATACTCCAGTTTCAAAATAGGGTCCAGAATAAACAATGCAGGCTTTCCTGGCACTAAACTAACATTTCCTCTGTTCATTAGTTACATCATTAGTCATGTCTGAGGGCAATGTGTGGTGTGAATATAATGCAGAGAATTCGTAGTTTGGAAGTTAGGAGGAGGTGCGGGATTACCAAAACTGTTGTCCAGAGGGCTGAGGAAGGGTTGTTGAGGTGGTTCGGACATGTAGAGAGAATGGAGCGAAACAGAATGACTTCAAGAGTGTATCAGTCTGTAGTGGAAGGAAGGCGGGGTAGGGGTCGGCCTAGGAAAGGTTGGAGAGAGGGGGTAAAGGAGGTTTTGTGTGCGAGGGGCTTGGACTTCCAGCAGGTATGCATGAGCGTGTTTGATAGGAGTGAATGGAGACAAATGGTTTTTAATACTTGACATGCTGTTGGAGTGTGAGCAAAGTAACATTTATGAAGGGGTTCAGGGAAACCGGCAGGCCGGACTTGAGTCCTGGAGATGGGAAGTACAGTGCCTGCACTCTGAAGGAGGGGTGTTAATGTTGCAGTTTAAAAACTAGTGTAAAGCACCCTTCTGGCAAGACAGTGATGGAGTGAATGATGGTGAAAGTTTTTCTTTTTCGGGCCACCCTGCCTTGGTGGGAATCGGCCAGTGTGATAATAAAAAAATAAAAAAAATTAGTTACGTTTTCAGGCTTTTCTAATGAATTCCATTTTGATTTTTTATTCACATAGTAAATTTTTTCAAACCATAAAATAGAAGGTTTACTGTTATGCAATATTGTAATAATTGTATAAATAATATCAGCACATTTGTGAACGTATATTAGACCCACCAGCAGGCGTGTATTAGACGTGTGAGGTCATTTGTTTACTTTTGAACATCGGCAAAAATTTAACATTTCTGCTACTTTGAGCTCAGTTTCGAGCCATTTCCAGTACTAAAACCAATCAAAATCATCTCTATTTCTGTAATATGTCTTCCATTCTATCAAATGAGACCAAGAAATTGCAAATACAACTATAAAAAGCATACGAAAATAGCACTGTGTGCTGCAGGATTTGTTTTATGTGATGCACACATACCACATAGATGTATTCTCTCATATCTAGGCTGAAATTTACCGCTCACAGCTTATCAGAGTGAGCTGAGCTGAGCTAATGATGTAGCTCTACGGTTTGGACCCTCAACGTAAAGCCATAGATCTATGGCATGGACCCTCAAAGAGTTAAACTACCGACTAACTCTGAATTTTCCTTTGTGGAAAATGCACCAGCACAAAGTTTGATGCTGAACTGATTTAATATTCTTGGTTTATGTCAGAAATAAGTCCTTTACAATTTTCATGGAAAAATTGGCACCTACACGCTCCAGTAACAAGCCGGTTTCATTTTTCTAAGTAGAATATACCTGTGCTGGAAGATTGTAATCAATCAGAAAAGGCATTTGTACACTGTCACATAAAACACTGCCTTATTTGCATGTATAAAATTGGTACCTACACAGCCCAAGAATGGAAAGAAAACAGATTTGGGTATATTTTAAATGAAATTTTATAGTTGGTTTTCAATTTTCCTTGGCCAGGTCAAAAGTAGATCACTGTTATTTACCTATCTGATAATGCTAATTTTTTTTTTTTTTTGGGGGGGAGGGGGTAAAAATATAGAAATGTGGATTTTTTGGGGGGATATTACATGGTATAGGGATTGTTTATTATTTATTTCACTGTTTTTGTCTTATTTTCTTTGTTGTATGTACAGAAATCATAGGGTGCATGTGGGGTAAGCTCATATTTTTAGGTAACCATTAGTCGAAGAAAGTCTTGGGATGATTACCACTGCTTTGTTATAATGAGTTTGCTTTATCGGAATTCGCTTCATGGGCCTGGAATGCATTATTTCATAAAATGAGGGTAACCTGTGTGTTAATTTTTGGAAGAGGACATATATGTACTCTGCTTCATTGAGTGGTAAGTACATTTTTTTTTCTCAAGTGCAGTACTGTCTTTATAACAGATGTTCAATTCTTAAAAAGAAGTTTTGACCCTGGGGGAGTTCAGATGATGGTATATATTGTTTGTATACTGTATAATGTAGTGCACAACATCACTCAGTATGTTGAGTATTTTGTATAATAATTTTCTATAATGTTTTAATGATTACTGCTGAGATAACTTTATAATGAGCATGAGTGTGACTGAGACAGGATGCATATTTGTGCATTTGATAATTAGAAGCTAACAGCATGTTTATCATAAGCTAGAATAGGGTATGTTCTGTATCTTCTGAGGATACTTCTGAAGTTTTTCTTGGGGTATGGTCGATTATCATAGGGTTTCTTAACAGTTCTATTGAAGATGATCATTTACCACAACCAAAACTTTGGAATCTGTACCTAGACTTTAGTTTAACTAACTATTTACCACTGCTCTTCTGTAGCAAATGTGACAAGGTCGAGAAAGACTCAGAGGGCCTCGAGTCTCAGTCTTGGTATGAATATTGGTTCCCTTGGCTCTTCCCAACCTCGAGCCAAACAGAAGTCTCCGTCCCATCTAAAAGCGATACTCCAGTAGCTTCTGATACCAGAGTGTTGAGGTGAGCACTGACTCACAGTTGATTACTTAATGCTGGTGTTCTCAGCTAAAGTCACTCCTGGGTAAGGGATTTCATGCTTGCCTCCAGCACTGTTCAACTTTTTTCTGAAATACTTTTGAAATGTTATAAGATAAGGTGGCACACAAGTTGCACGTACCAAGACTGATGCTGAAAATGGCCTTCAATCACATGCTAGTAATTATTGCTTAAGATTTGTATTTTAAAATTTTTAATGAATTTGGCCAAAGATCATTGGTGAGATGACGGTTTTGATTGGTTCTCGTTTGTTTGCTAGAGTTCATTTAGTAAGCTGGTTGCCATTGGTTGCCATGAATGGAGAGGTTGTGGGGGTGTCCTAACCCCCCTCCCCCTCTCTCTCACCTTCTTCTGTCTCACACTTTTGTCTTACTCTGCTTTCTCTCATTTTTCTGTCTCTTACACTTCTGTTTTGCCACTAAGCACTACAGGTCAACTTGTTCTTTCACTAAAATTCTTTACTGTATTTTTCCCACTGTTTTTTATTAACCCTTTGACGAGCCAGTGTTTTTGACGTATTTATACTCCAAAATTCTAGCGGCTTCAGATCAAGCGGGAGAAAGCTGGTAGGCCCACATGTGAGAGAATGGGTCTGTGTGGTCAGTGTGCGCATTATAAAAAAAATCCTGCAGTACGCAGTGCATAATGAGAAAAAGAAACCTCTGACTGTGTTTTTGGGATAAAACTCTGACTTTGAGGTATATTTTCGTATAGTATTCATGGTTGTATTTTCGTTTTCTTGGTCTCATTTCGTAGAATGGAAGACACATTACAGAAATAGAGATGATTTTGATTGGTTTCACGATGAAAAGGACCTTGAAATTGAGCTCCGAGTAGCGGAAATGTTTAATTTTTGCCAGTGTTCAAGAGTAAACAAATGATATCATTGTCCAGTAAGTGTCCAACTAGCCATTCTGATATGCAGTCACGTATGGGTTGACATTATTTATACAATTATTACAGTAATGCAGTAGGCTGCATAACAGTAAATCTTCTATTTTTTGTGTGAATAAAAATTCCAAATAGAAAGCAAGAGTAATATAAGAGGCCTGGAGATGTGACTGATGAACAGAGAAATTGTTATTTTAGTGCCAGGGATGTCTGCATTGTTCATTCTGGACCCTATTTTGGAATTGGCATCTTTTTTAATTTGCATGAAATTGGCCAAATTGCCAATTTCTGACCACTTTATTGGGTAGTTGAAATTGATAAGTGGCTAGTATCTTGTACTCAATCGATAGAACAAGTGGAGTTCTAAAGAAATAGCTATGAGTTTGGTTGAATGGAACAATGGAATTGGCCAAAAATAGGGCTCAAAGTGGGCAAAATCGCCAGTGCATAAATATCGCTGAGATCACTAACTTCACGAGAGCGTAATTCCGTAAGTTTTCAATCAAATTTCATACTTTTGGTGTCATTACCATCGGGTAAAGATTCTCTATTATTTCATGAGAAAAAATAATTTTTTCTAAATTCTTCAACACTGAGAGCAAGTTTGTGAGCAGGGATCTCGACAGTAAAAGGGTTAATTCCTTTTGTTTTTTGTTTTGTTCCTTCTGTTTTCTCATTTTTATGAGTTTTCAGTCCTCCCTCACACTGTTTTTTAGTGTAAGCATGCAATAGCCCCATTGCTTTTGTCAGTAGCCATTGTGGTGTTTATAATTATATTTATGGGTCTTTTATTATCAGTGTTCTCCAGGGCAGTGCATGGTTTAAAACACTTACTCTCAGGTTTTTGAAATGTGGGAGAAGTAGAATTTTTTTCAAGATCTGACTTTCCTATGATATATTTACATAAGAACACTGCAACAGGCCTACTGACCCATGTGGAGCAGGTCCATGTCCTTCCCCCCCTGGATTAGCCCAATGACCCACCCAGTCTGGTCACCTCCACTCAAAAAACGAGCACGGCACCAGACCCAGCAGCGCAAGCTAGTCAGGTCCAACTTGCACCCACTCGTGTATTTATCTAACCTATTTTTAAAACTACACAACGTTTAAGCCTCGATAACTGTACTCGGGAGTTTGTTCCACTCGTCCACAACTCTGTTACCAAATCAGTGCTTTCCTATATCGTTCCTGAATCTGAATTATTCCTACTTGAAACCATCGCTGCGAGTCCTCTCTTGGCTGGAAATTTTCAGCTCGCTATTTATATCCCCTTTATTTATTCCTGTTTTCCATTTATACGCCTCGATCATATCCCCCCTAATTCTACGCCTTTCGAGAGAGTGCAGATTCAGGACCCTCAGTCTATCCTCATAGGGAAGATTTCTGATACACGGGATCATCATTGTCACTATTTGTACTGCCAATCTCCTATGAAAGCTCCTTTTCGACTTCTTCACTGAGCATCCCTATCACATTTCTTTTTTCTGCCAGCAGCTTCCCTCTCCTTTATGGAACTGGATGACTAGCAAGGGGTTGAGGCATTTTTATAAATACTGAACTTTATAGTAATCTCAATTAACCAAGTATTTTTGATAAATAACCCAAATACTCTTTCCTAGTTTTCTGCCACACGAATTGGAGATTGAGCTCCCATATTTGTGTTTCATTTTTCTAATTTTTCTTATGCTATACATGAATTTTGCAGCTGTAACTTTAAATCCTCTTTCCTTGTATTAAAACTTTCATATAATGCAAGAGATTACTTGTATTCCCTTGAGAATGAGAAGGTCAGAAGTCAACTACAGCAGACCTGGATTTTCTAGAGCAGTTTAATAGTTTGTTGTAGAAATTCTGTAATAGTAGTGTGCTCTAACCATGCTAGATAATGCAGTTTATCTCTGTACAGTAATTTAATTATAGCTTGGAAATATACAGTGGTTATATGTACTGTATTTATTATAAAACTATGTTAATAACTGTCATATTGACAGTTATTAACAGTTTACTGCACTTTGCTTTACAGTGTTTTGCTAATGCAGGGGTTTTTAATCATACCCATGCTTCATTTATTCAGACTTCCAACAATAAATATATTCACCACTTGCCATAAGCTAAGGACGAAAATATTTTAAGGTAAGTAATGTGTACTGTACTGTATGTGCATTTTTTTAGGCTTAGCTCTGTGTAAATATGTTATCAGGCTTTTATATGAATTTGAAAGTGAAAAAAAAGGCTATTTCACTTTACTGCTATTTTTGCTTTACAGCAGTAGCTCGGAACCTAACCTGCTGTATAATCGGGGCCCACCTGTATTTAAATAATATACTAGTAGAAATAAAATAAAATTTGGAGCCTGCTTTATAAGCTTTATTATAAAAATATATGCTTGGCACTTGGCAAGGTGTGGTCATAGCTGTATGCTAATAACTCTGCATAATCCCATCACAGGAATTTACAGCCTTATAATGCTTGCTTATCAGGCAAAATGCACGATTTTAACCCTTTGACTGTCGATGTCGTATAAATATGTCTTACAAACCAGTGTTTTTGATGTATTAATATGCCAAAATTCTAGCAGCTTCAAATCAAGCGGGAGAAAGCTGGTAGGTCCACATGTGAGACAATGGGTCAATGTGCACAGTATAAAGAAAAATCCTGCAGCATGCAGTGCATAATGAGGAAAAAAAAACTCTGACCGTGTTTTTGGATTAAAATGCTGACTTTGAGGTGTATTTTTGTATAGTATTTATGGTTGTATTCTCATTTTCTTGGTCTCATTTGATAGAATGGAAGACATATTACAGAAATAGAGATGATTTTGATTGGTTTCACAATGAAAAGGACCTTGAAATTGATCTAAGTAGTGAAAATGTTCAAAAGGGCATATGATAAGGTGGATAATGGAGCCATGTGGCAGATATTGCAGTTGTGTGGAATAGAAGATTGGTTATTAAAAGCAGTTAAGTTTTTTAAGTAGAGTGAGGCTCAGCTTAGAGTATGTAGGAGGGAGGGAGGTCTAATTCTCAGTAAAATAGGACTTAGATAGGGATGTGTGATGTCACCATGGTTATTTTATAGATTGAGTTGTGGAAGAAGTAAGCATAAGGCTGCTGGGAAGGAATGTGAGATTGAAAGATGTTGGATCTGATACAAGGTGGGTGTTATCCCAGTTGCTCTTTGCTGATGAAATAGTTCTCTCTGGGGATACTGAATGCAAATTACACAGGTTGTTGGATGAGTTTTGCAGAGTTTGTAAAAGAGGGCAGTTAACCCTTTCAGGGTCCAAGGCCCAAATCTGGAGTCACGAACCAGTGTCCAAGAATTTTCAAAAAAAAAATTTGTTATTTTTTCTTATGAAATCGTAGAGAATCTTTTTGTGAAGGTAATAAAACAAAAAGTATGAAATTTGGTGGAAAATTGACGAAATTATGCTCTCGCGAATTTTGATGTGTCAGCGATATTTACGAATCGGCGATTTTGCCGACTTTGACTCCCATTTTAGGCCAATTACATTATTCCAATCAACCAAATTCTTAGCTATTTCACTAGTATTACTTTTATTCTATCGATTGAGCACAAGAAATCGCCAAGTCAACTGTTTCAACTACAAAATAAAGTGATCGGAAATTGTTAATTTGGCCAATTTAACACAAAGTTCAAAATATTCCAATTTCAAAATAGGGTCCAGAATGAACAATGTAGGCATTCCTGGCACTAAACTAACATTTCCTCTGTTCATTAGTTATGTTTTGAGGCTTTACAAATAAATTCCATTTTGATTTTTTATTCACATAATGAATTTTTATTCACACCAAAAAATAGAAGATTTACTGTTATGCAATACTGTAATAATTGTATAAATATCATCACTATATTTGTGAATGTATATTAGACCCACCAGCTGACGTGTATTAGACGTGTGAGGTCGTTTGTTTACTCTTGAATATCGGCAAAAATTTAACATTTCTGCTACTTTGAGCTCAGTTTCAAGCCATTTCCAGTGCTAAAACCAATCAAAATCATCTCTATTTCTGTAATATGTCTTCCATTCTATCAAATGAGACCAAGAAATCGCAAATACAACTATAAAAAACATACGAAAAAACACTGCAAAGTTGCTGTTTTAATCGAAAAATCATGATTTCATTTTTTTTTCTCTCATTATACACAGTGTGCTGCAGGATCTGTTTTATGTGGTGCACACATACCACATAGATGTATTCTCTCATATCTAGGCCCAAATGTACCACTCACAGTTTATCAGAGTGAGCTGAGCTCATGGCGTAGATCTACGGTTTGGACCCTGAACGTAAAGCCGTAGATCTACGGGACGGACCCTGAAAGGGTTAAAAGTGAGTATAGACAAGAGCATAATGATAAGGGCCATAGAAAGTCTGAACCTGGAAGAAAGCAAGGTGAGGAGGGGTAACAAAGTCTGGAGGCAGTGCCTTCACTCTGAAGGGGAGATGGGAACGTTGCAGTTCAAAGTCATCTGAACTAATGTTGGCACTTCTCTGGCAAGACAGTGATAGAATGAACGATCGTTAATGTATTTTGTTATTTTGGGGTCACCCTGCCTTGGTGGGAGATGACTATTGTGTTAAAAATAGTTACAAAATATTGTGGTATTGAAAATGTAGTTGGAAGTAAGGTAGGATAAGGATATAGTGATGAATCATTGAAAAGCCTTTTTATAAGATAGTGCATGATTTACGTGACAGGTTGTTATTCTTGATCCTCATTATTACTGTAAAATTCAAGGCTTCTTCAGCATATTTAAGTAAAAAAGCTTATTGTAGATATGAAAGCAATGTGATATATTGTTGAAATTTAAAAAGTTTTATCATTTTAATTAAAAGGATATTGTTGGAAAGACATTTATTGAAATAGAGTAGACTTTCCACTTGTAGGTGCATATTGCAGGAAGCATGAGCTGATGTGGCACAAGAGCTGTTGAAAAAAAAAAAGGTTACAGAAAACTATTGTTTGGAATGTTTAGTGGATCATACAGTGGAAGCATGTGTCAGTAGTGTGACAGTGACTTAAATAAGCATCATCTGAAGCATTGGTATAAATGCTGTGTGAAACTACTCGACACTAGGTCTTATTATTATTTACTTGACACTAGGTCTTATTATTAAAAAAAAATATGAGATAAAGAACTTACATTCTTTGTATTTTCATCTTCGCTCAGTAACTGGGCCATGGGGAAGATAATCCCCAGAACAGCTACCCAGAGCATTAATATTAAAGTAAAATGTAATAAACCTACATGCTATCTCAGAACAACTGTTCATGACACCATTATTCTTCAGGTATGCTGGACGTCCTGTTTCTGCATCACCTGCTACTGGCAACAAGAAGACCCACACGCGAGAGGTGAAGCAGCTCCTGGAAGATTCTCTTGCTCTGTGAAATACATGTTAGTCACCTGGAATCACAATAGGAATTCTAAAGTGTGCTGTAAAACCTCTTTAATTTACTATAATTATTCCTTAGAATATTTGAAACTAATCCTAAGTTTTTCATAACATCACCTCTTAAAGATTTTCAGCAAGATACTGATCAAAATCTGATTGTAGCATAAACTGGCCCAAGGCTGGGCTCTGGGAGTATAAAATCTCTGAGCTCAACAAAGATATAAAGGCATATGTTCAGCTATTTATTTTATAATAAATTTAAAATGTCTTGCTAATAATAAAATGAAAGCTGTGTTCTATATAAAGTTTTATGTATATACTGTATATAACTTGAGAGTTCAAGAAATTGTCATTTTTATTATTCTCGTTATCATAAATTAAAAAGGTTTTACTTTGATTAGATAGATAATGGTTTGTTTAAAATGGAACAAAACATTGAGAGAGATTGAAATATTTTTTAATTTTATGTCTCCAGGCAAGAATTAAAAAATAACCAAACTATTTTCTTAAATTAAGAGAAATATTTATGCTTATAAGATAGTTGTGATTGGCCAGTTTGGCATTGGTGAGGGTTACAATTTTAAGTGAAGCATACAGTACTTAGCACCAAAAACAATAATGATGGTTCTTAAGCCAGGTGGAAGCTGAAGGAATTAGTCATTATTGCGATTGAAAAATGAATATGAAAATTTTTAGTAATTAATAAAGTTCACAGTAGGAATACATTTTTAGTAATTAACCATTTTTGTAGATATTTGTTCTGTTAAGAGTGTAGTAACTGTATAAATTGTAATATCTGTGGAGAAGTGTAAATAATACAACAGACAGTGCAGCAGTCTCACACCCTTCCAAGTAGGTTATTACCAAGTGACAAGGCTTAATTAATATGTTTCTTCTTTCATTGGTATTTCTTCACAGTAGTAGTAGTAGTAGTAGTATATCAATGCAGTTTATTGTTGTAGATATGTTCCTTACCTGAGAGAAACCTGAGAAAATAAATATTTTGTGAGGCTAAATTTAGATTATTAGTTTTTTAATTTTGGTTGCATCCTGAGTAAGAAGCCCAAGTAGTGTAAGGTCAGAGCCAGTAGTGATAAGTTCTGCACATAGTGGAGAGTGCACTCTGGCCAGCTCTCTTGCACCTGGTTACAAGGGTGAGATGTCAAAAAGATGGAGTAACACATGCAGAGAATGTTATAACATTTTAATTTGTGATGAAACTTTTCACAAAGCAAAACACTGTCACAAAAGTTTGCCTTGCATGTGTGTTTTACCCCATCTCTTATACCTAAGATCTAACCTCAAGTGACACTTCATGTATGCACCACACTTACCTTTTATGCTAGGCTATCCCCAAAGGCTCGTGTATATATATACATATATATATATGTATATAGGTAGTAGGTTGGTAGACAGCAACCGCCCTGGGAGGTACTACCGTCCTGCCAAGTGAGTGTAAAACGAAAGCCTGTAATTGTTTTACATGATGGTAGGATTGCTGGTGTCCTTTTTTCTGTCTCATGAACATGCAAGTTTTCAGGTACGTCTTGCTACTTCTACTTACACTTAGGTCCCACTACACATACATGTACAAGCACATATATACACACCCCTCTGGGTTTTCTTCTATTTTCTTTCTAGTTCTTATTCTTGTTTATTTCCTCTTATCTCCATGGGGAAGTGGAACAGAATTCTTCCTCCGTAAGCCATGCGTGTTGTAAGAGGCGACTAAAATGCCGGGAGCAAGGGGCTAGTAACCTCTTCTCCTGTATATATTACTAAATGTAAAAGGAGAAACTTTCGTTTTTCCTTTTGGGCCACCCCGCCTCGGTGGGATACGGCCGGTGTGTTGAAAGAAAGAAAGAAAGATATATGTATATAGGTAGTAGGTTGGTAGACAGCAACCGCCCTGGGAGGTACTACCGTCCTGCCAAGTGAGTGTAAAACGAAAGCCTGTAATTGTTTTACATGATGGTAGGATTGCTGGTGTCCTTTTTTCTGTCTCATGAACATGCAAGATTTCAGGTACGTCTTGCTACTTCTACTTACACTTAGGTCACACTACACATACATGTACAAGCACATATATACACACCCCTCTGGGTTTTCTTCTATTTTCTTTCTAGTTCTTATTCTTGTTTATTTCCTCTTATCTCCATGGGGAAGTGGAACAGAATTCTTCCTCCGTAAGCCATGCGTGTTGTAAGAGGCAACTAAAATGCCGGGAGCAAGGGGCTAGTAACCTCTTCTCCTGTATATATTACTAAATGTAAAAGGAGAAACTTTCGTTTTTCCTTTTGGGCCACCCCGCCTCGGTGGGATACGGCCGGTGTGTTGAAAGAAGAAAGAAGATATATATGTATATATATAATTGTAATCATAGTTTTAACTTATTATTAATCTATAAATATCTCAAAGAAAGATCTAAAGAACACTTCACTATTAGTCTGTATTAAGGTTGTCTACCCATGCAAGGTAACTGATAAGTGTGGGAATTAGGATCAAGACTAGATCATTTTGATGTCATATTTTGTTAAAAGTCACGTTAATATCTGTTAATGTGCCCATTTTCGGTGTGTGTTAATGTAACTTATGTTTTTGTTTAAAGGCAGTAACTTGATACACTATAACTTTTAAGTTCATTCAATGTATTTAAAATATGTATTGTTATAAGTATTGCTTGGATAATAGAAGATTGGGCAAACTTGTTCAGGACTGCTGCTTGAAATGTTTCTGATGAGGCCATCTCAGTTGTTTTACAAACATACAAGAAATTGTGAGAAGCTTTAGTGCCACAAGATAATTATTTTGCAAGTTTTTAATTTCTTTAGAAACTTCCAAGTAGAAGCAGGAGAAATAATATCCCTCAGTTTTACTCAAGGTTTTATTTAAATGGATTAACTTGGTGGGGAAGGACTTAAACCCCACTAAATTCCTTTATTTTAAAGTACACGTCTAATTTTATAATTGCTTGGCCATATTTACTGCATTGTCTTCTGCATTGCTCAGCTGTGACTCGTAAGACTACCTAATATTGATTCACCAATGCTTGAGCACCCAATGGCAAAACTTACTATTGTTCTGGACTGTTACCAGGACTGATGATGGTGACACTGTTTGTGTGAAATGTTTTTGCTAAACACAACTTTTTACTTTAAATCTCCTGGTGGTAATATTTTAAATTCTGATTTAAATAGCACCGCTAGTGTATCTACCTGATTTTAAAAAATTACCATTGTAGAAAATTAATTTGAATGAACTTATCAGTAGCTCATTGGCAGCAGTATAGTAAGACATGTAATTCAGCTACAGTTTAGCTAACCTTTGTTATTGGTACATCACTTGAATGAGATTAATATTTCTAGTAAAACTACTAGTGTTTGAAATTATTCTGTATATGTAAGAAATTGTTTTTATGGATCATGAAATTCTGAAACAAATACATATATTAAGTTGAGATCTTAATAAGCTTAATGCTTTGGATGTTAAAAAATTAAACCCTCTGATAATACAGTTTATCCCTATTTTCCATTTTACATATAATTTTGAGAAACTTTGAGAAATACTTTTGAGGTGAACTACCGGTAAAATTCTTGCTTCTCAATCTGTGCCTCGTCAATACTATAAACTTTGCTTGTATAGAATTTAACTATCCATGAAAACCATTTTAGTGAATTCTCCATTTTTTTGTTTAAATATCTTATATGAATCAGCTATGAATGCTGATGTAAATTTTTAATATTTTTCAGTTTGACCAGAAACTGTTTGAATAATAAAAATGTTGTAGTTCATCAAATATAATTATTTTTGATATGTAATGATAATGAATGTTAGAACATAGTTGCAAACTAAGAAATTTTTATGGTACTAGCAGATATTAGTAGGGCACAGCTTAACTTTTTTTTTTTAAGTGTCTGTGCTAAAGTTATAAAAAGAGCACCAAGTGCCTGTTCACATTTCTGAGTAAAAATGCATTGCACCATTTCTTTTTAATGCTTAAGTTTTTGCCTCTGGTATGAGGCAGTAGTTAATGCTTTGGCTGTTGCTCTTGAGAAAATCACCGGCTACATACAGTACTATGCATAATATCTTCTGTGTTTTTCACACAAAATTATGCTTGAGATGCAATCTTGAGGGGTAGTGTAAATAAGGATTTTATTTTTCAAGCACAGCTGTACATGAGTAGAGAATGAAAATATATTAAATTACTCTTCACTTGTTTTCTTATGCCCGTATCTCAAGGCTCCAAGCACTCAAGATTGATACTAGTTTAGTGGTGAACCTTAATTTAACGGACTTTGGAACCTTTTTTTTTTTTTTTTTTTTTTTTTTAAATGCGTTGGCTGTTTCCCACCGAGGCAGGGTGACCCAAAAAGAAAGAAAAAAAACTTTCATCATTCAACACTTTCACCATCACTTGTACATAATCACTGTCTTTGCAGAGGCGCTCGGATACAATTTAGATGTCCCTCCAAACTGCCAATGTCCCAAACCTCTCCTTTAAAGTGCAGGTATTGTACTTCCCATTTCCAGGACTCAAATCCGGCTAACCGGTTTCCCTGAATCCCTTCACAAAATATTACTCTGCTCTTGCACTTTTTATCACCATTTTTTGTATGGAACTTGCCTCTGGCAAGTCAGTGTGTGTGTAAAAGATGGTGAAAAGTTTTTTTTCAGGTCACCCAGCCTCAGTGGGAGACTGGCAGCATGTTAAAAGAAAAATTAACCCTTGTGGTTTAGCACTTCTTTCTGATTATAATATATATATATATATATAAAAGAAAAATTTCACTTTTGTGGAAAGACAGAATCTGAGGTTTAGTCATACATAAGCCTCATAGAGACATATATTGATGCTCATGAAGAACTCTTGATCCAAGTAATTGAAGCTACCCTCACTATTCCCAGGATTAAACCTTGGCATGTACAATTTTGGTTTAGCACTTCCATGTAATTAAATAATGAAAATTAGTAGTTTTTTAAGAGTAGTACTGGTTACTGTTTGCAATGCTGTTGAAAATTATGGAAGAGAAACTAAATTAGTTTTGTGTAGAGGTTAGTAGATAACTCTGGTATAAGGTTGGCGAGTTTAATATATGGGTAGTTGAGTAATGTAGAAGATTTGGTGAAAAGGTTGATAGACATGTTTATTGTAGAGGAGTGGTAGATGAATTTGAAAGAATTGTAAAGAAGTTTAGCTTGTTAATTATGGCATACCTGGGAAAAAGAATTTCTCATGTGTATGGCAAGATTTAAAAAAAAAAAAAAGCATAAAATGAAAAAGTATACTTTTATGAATTAAATTAGTGGAATCAAGCTTAAAATATTGTGATTTCTTGAAGTTAGCAAAAAATCATCACTTGTCAGCAACAGCAGCATAAATGTACTAGTGATATTTATTTTTTAATTTATTGATGCCAAAATATAATTGTTTTTCAGTATTTTAATTGTTTTTTATTTTTAATATTATGTACACTAGTTTCTTATGATATCAAATGTACAGTGGAACCTCGGTTGTCGACTGCATTACTTGTCGAACAAATTGGCTTTCAAACAAGGAATTTTAGAAAAAAATGTCATGGTTTTCGTATGTTCTCTTGGTTGTCGACCTGCAACGCGAATGGCTTTGGTCACGTGCTCACAGAATGCACACTTGACAGTGAATCAACAGTGTGGGTCTGAGTCAGTATAGCCACATGCTATAAACATCTCTTGAGCTTTTGTTGTGCATCTTGTGAACTTTTTTAGTTATTTTGCAGTTTTGGTGTAATTTTTTTTGTGAGATAAGCCATCATGGATTAAAAGGATAGAGATGAAAGCAAGAAGTTGTTAAAAGCATTGTTGAGTTTAAAAAAGAAGTCATTAGAGCATGAAGAAGATAGGCTCCATGTGGTTGATATAACAAAACTTTATAGTAAATGACCTCTTCAAGGGGGGCTCCTTGGCGTGGTGAAGAGGCTCTTGGTCTGAGGAGTTAGACCTGTCGGTCTTCTTCCTCAGACTGAACCTAATTACCCCCGAATCTCCCCTCCCCTATCCCATCCTCCCCTTTTTCCTTTCCTCCTCCTCCTCCCCACCCCTCCCTTTTGCCCTTCCTCTTTTTGGCCTTTGGGATTTCTCCCACAGGCGCGCTAGTTCCTAGGTAGAGGAAAGGGTACCGGGGTCCATCCCATTCTGTTGAGGTTCTTGGCGGTGGCGTAGTTTGCCGTGGGAATCTGGATCGCTGGGGATGTCCGATCCCTCTCGTATCCCGAGAGTAGCTTTGGGTGTATTTCGGGCGACGGGTGTATCTCTGGAAGCCACCTTTCGGATTCCGGGGGTGGTGGCCGAAGGAGGTATGCTTTGTGGCGGATTATCCGGCCGCCCTCTTTGTCCACGAGGTAGCTCGGCAGATGTGAGGTTGCTATCCCGGATTGTTAGTTTACTAGCATGATGGGTAGGGTATGGCACGGGTTCCATGCTGCATCTGCGCTACTTGCGGTGCTGAGGTCTCTTGGGCGCGGAGGGAGATTTCTGGCCCTTTCATTCCCTAGGACCTATCCCTCCCGGTCCCCCCTTTTTTTATTCTTTTTTTTATTTTTATTTTCTTTTCTTTTTTCTTTTTTTTCTTTTTATTTTATTTTATTTTCTTTTTTTTTCTTAAGAACAAAAAGAAAGAAGTAACCTAACCATGGCAGCCCTAGTCCATGAACCTACTACCCCCGGGCCCCTTCTTCATACCGCACCCGTTCTGACCTGCCTCGTCTTTGGACCACTCTTCAGACACTCCTCATGCCTCTGTACCTCTTGTCGGTGCTGTTTCCTCACCCGCTTCAGGTACTGAGGCCTCGACTGACTCCTTCGATTTATCGGACCTTCGCTCTCCTCTGACTATGCTTCCGGCCTCTCCCTCTACGGTGCGGCAACTTTCAAATCGCCGACCAGTTCCACGTCGGACAACTCTGGTCCCACGCCTAAATGCACGACAATTACCTGCTGATGATACTTCCTCCACCTTCTCGTTCTTCTCTGAAACGATCAACACGTCCTTCACTACCTTTCCACGCTCAGTTTCAGACTGAACAATGGACTAAATTCTTCACTTTACGACCGACTTCCTCTACTGCCTATCTTTCTGACCACAGTATTGGCAAGGCACTCCTACGCCATGTTGATAAAGATATTTCTTTTCATGCTCTTAAGAGCGGTACGCGCATCATTACGTACAGAATGCTACCCAGATCATGAGCGCTCTCGTCTTTCCCATATCGATACTGTTCTGTCACTCTTGAAAAACATCATTCCTCATTTTTGTAGTGGTACTGTCATTCTGCCCCATACCATAGTTCAACAAAATTTCCAGACATGTGGCACTGACATTCTTGAACAGCTGGAACTCCAAGATCTCCCAATCCTCAAGGTAGACACTTACGTTCTTCCTGCCCGCGGGCGGAGACGATACCCTAGCAATGTGGCTCGTTTAACTTTTGACAGCCGAGAACTCCCATCTTCAGTTTATATAGCAGGACATCGGTTACAAGTTCGAAAGGTGATCCCTACACCACAACAGTGTAGAAATTGCTGACGATTTGGCCATTCCAGCGAAATATTGCAGATCTATCGCCAAATGCCCAGTCTGTGGTGCCAATCACCATTCTAATACGTCTTGCAATCGATCTCCCTCTTGCCTTAACTGTCATGAGGCTCACCCTTCGTACTCTCGCCGTTGTCAAGTCTATTTAAACGAGCGGGAAATCCGTTACCTCAAAGAGACAGAAGGTCTCCCTTATGCCATGGCAGTTTCTCATCTCCGCCTCCAAGGGACACTCCCTCGTGTTTCTTATTCCCGTGTTTCAAAACGTCCCCCCACTTCTGGTATCCCATCTTCTACACCCACCTCTGTGGATACCTCTCCCATAGTCACTCCTGTATCTAATCCTTTTGCTGTCCTCGGCTCAGACGTCCCTACTTCAACGCCTCAGTCTGATCTCGCTTCTTCGTGTTCTCTCTCACAAGCCCTCAGTATCGACGAGACCTCGTACGACACCTCCTCCCAATCATCCCTCTACTTCTCAAAAGTCAAAAAAAAGGTCCGTTAACACCTCTACCCATCTTCCACCTCCTCATTTTACCCTCCCTGTCTCTGTCCCTGGTTCTTCCCCTCTCACTGGCTCAGTTACAAGTGTAGAGGTTCACCCTCCTCCTCGTACTGTACCTTCCTCCCTGTTCCCTCCAAGTTTCTTCCTCTTCTGCCACTCCCAGGTTCCTGCCTCTTCTGTCCCCTGCCACGCTTCTCCAGTTCCCTCCACCCTTTCGCCTCCCCCTACCTTGGTACAGTCCAGTACAGTTCCAATCTTTACTCATCCTCCCACTACCATTTCCAATATTGTCTCCCATACGACGTCTCTGAATTCCGAAACACTTGAAGCAATCTCTGAATATATTGCAGAGACCAAACCATCAATGGACACTGATCCACCTTCCGCTCTTTCTCTCTCCTTGCTCCATCTGCGCAACTCCTTTCTTCACAGCGCACCGTTCCTTCGCTGCTTGAACGTTTTCCACTGCCTCCGCATGTGGACTTTTCTAACCCCTCTAGTCCATAGGAACCCTTACCTGCGGATTTCAAGTATCTTTATCATTGCCAATCATGGCCTATTTACAGTGGAATATACGCGGCCTCAGGGGTAATCGGGGTGAGCTTCAGATGTTACTCTCCCAGTTTGCCCCTGTTGGTGTTGGCTTACAGGAACCAAGATTACACTCTGCTGTTATTTCTCCCATCTCAGGCTATAATTTATTGTATTCTTCAGATCCTTTTCCTGATGGGACCTTTAATGAAAGTGCCCTTCTTCTCTGCACTGATATTCCGTACCATCAGCTATTTGTTCATACTTCGCTGCATTACACAGCAGCCCGTATCCACTTACATAGGTGGTATACGCTCTGTTCTTTATATCTCTCTCCTTCTCGGGCATTATCTATTCCGGATATTGCCTTTCTTGTTTCGTCATTACCGCCACCGATTCTGTTACTTGGTGATTTTAATGCCCACCATTTCCTCTGGGGGGGGTCTCACTGTGATTCCCGTGGAATCCAGTTAGAGGCTTTTCTTGCCACCCCCCCCCTCCATGTTTTAAATACAGGTACTCACACCCATTTTGATCCTCGGACTCATACTCTCTCTTGCATCGATCTCTCAGTCTGCTCTTCCTCCGCCGCATTAGACTTCAC